GGAGACGTGCTGCTGAGACTGGGGGTGCTGCTGGGGCTACTGGAGTTGGTCCTGCTGGAGCTGCTGGCGGTACTAGTGCTGCTGGAGCTGGAGCTGCAGGGGGTGTTGGCGCTGGTGTTTCTACTGGCGCTGGTGTGTCTGGGGGTGCTGGTGAGGCTGCTGGAGCTGACGGTCCTACTGGAGTTGGTGCTGCTGGAGCTGGAGCTGCTGGGGGTGTTGGCGCTGGCGTTGCTGCTGGCGCTGGTGCTTCTGAGGGTGCTGGAGTTGGCACTGTTGGAGCTGGAGGTGCTGCTGACGCTGGTGCTGCCGCTGGGGGTGCTGGTGCCGTCCTTGCTGGTTCTACAGGCGCTGAGCGGCCGAGGCCGTACTTCGTTCCACTCCTGGAGCACGTTCTTGGTCTCCCGCCCTCTCCTGGTCCTGCTCCTTCCTTAGAGTGTCCACAGCCTGTCTAGTTGCAGTCACAGTTACAGCCCGCCTCCCCTCTACGTGTTCCTTCTCCCTACACTAGTCCTACTGGAGGTCTTGCTGAGCGTCGTAAGCATGCGTCTCGTCCTGCGTCGCCTGTTCGTGCTGCTCGCACTAGTGGTCGTACTGCGCGTCCGCGTCTTCCTGCGGTCCCCGGCACACACCAGATGGCGCTACGTCCTTCCACCGCTCCTATGTGTGTCCCGTTGCCGTCTCCTCCAGAGTCCTCTCTTCCTACTCTTGCTGACCCGGAGTCTTACTCCCTTCGTGCTGCTAGTCCTTCGATCACGCGTCTCCTTGCTGCTCTTGTCACTGACCCTTCCTTTAAGTCCACTGCTGCGTCTGCCCTAGTTGCTGAGCTTGTCGACTTCGCTTCTCGCTGTCCTCTAGACTACGCTGCAAGTCTCGTTGCTGAGTCTGAGTCTGTCAGTCCTCCGTCCGTCGGGGGTGAGTGTGCTCTTAGCACGGACGTCCTTGAGGATAGGCAGGAGGATTTCTAGTGCTTTGCTACTGCTTTGCCCCATCTCGTGTCCACGTTGATTGCCCATGAGGGAGACCCGGATGCACCAGACATCCCGACTCCTCGATCGTACGCTGAGGCGATCGAGGGTCCCTACTCCTCTCAGTGGCAGTCAGCCATGGACGCAGAGATGGCTTCCTGGGATCCACACGCACCTACGTCGACAAGGTTCCCCCACCTGGGGCGAACATCGTCAGTGGCATGTGGATTTTCAGGGTGAAGCGGCCGCCGGGTTCTCCGCCTGTCTTCAAGGCGCGTTACGTGGCTCGAGGCTTCAGACAGCGGCAGGGAGTTGACTACTTTCAAACCTTCTCTCCCACCCTGAAGATGACCACTCTTCGGGTGCTGCTGCACATAGCCGCTCAGCGCGACTACGAGCTTCACTCTCTTGACTTCAGCACAGCTTTCTTGCAGGGTAGCCTGCACGAGGAGATCTGGCTGCACCGCCCACCTGGCTTCATTGGGTTGTTTCCTGCTGGTACCTTGTGGAGCCTTCGGCGGCCAGTCTACGGTCTCCGCCAGGCGCCCCGTGAGTGGCACGACACACTGAGGACTACACTTGCGGCTCTTGGGTTTGCTCCTTCTACAGCCGACCCGTCGCTGTTTCTGCGCACCGACACCTCTTTGCCGCCGTTCTACATCCTCGTGTACCTCGACGACTTGGTCTTTGCCACTGCTGACACTGCTGGACTCGCCCACGTGAAGTCCGGGCTGCAGAAGAGACACACATGCACAGACCTGGGTGAAATGCGCAGCTACCTTGGCTTGCAGATCACTCGGGACAGAGCCCGCCGCACCATTACCCTGACTCAGTCACACATGGTGCAGCAGGTCCTTCAGCGCTTCGGCTTCACGTACTCCTCGCCTCAGGCCACTCCTCTGCCTACTCGCCACTCGCTCTCAGCTCTGCCTTCGGATGAGTCCGTAGAGTCGAGTGGCCCGTACCCAGAGCTTGTTGGCTGCCTCATGTACCTCATGACCTGCACACGACCTGACCTTGCATACCCTCTTAGCATTCTTGCACGCTATGTTGCTCCTGGGAGACACAGACCGGAGCACATGGCTGCAGCGAAGAGGGTGTTGCGCTACTTGTGCAGTACGTCGGGCATGGGGCTAGTGCCTAGAGGGCGACGTCGAGTTGTCCTCACAGGTCACGCTGACGCTTTTTGGGCTGACGACCAGGCTCTGCAGCGGTCGTCACAGGATTACACCTTCAGCCTTGGCTCCGGCTCTGTTTCGTGGTGGTCTACCCGCTCGTCTTCTGTTCTCAGCTCCAGCTGTGAGGCTGGGATCTACGCAGGGGTCATGGCTGCACAGGAGCTACGCTGGCTCACCTACCTGTTGACTGACCTAGGAGAGCTGCCTCGTTCTCCTCCAGTTCTGTACGTAGACAACAAGGCCATGCTGGCCTTGTGTCGGGAGCACAGACTGGAGCACAGAACGAAGCACATTGCTCTCCGCTACTTCCTGGCTCGTGAGCTGCAGCAGCGTAGTCAGCTCCGCCTCACCTACGTGGCCTGTGAGGCCAACACTGCTGATATCTTCACCAAGGCCCTTCCACCTTGTGATCATCAGCGCTTCTGTACTTTGCTAGGTCTTGTGCCTACCTGGCCTCACTTGCTCACTTCTTGATCTTGTTTGTACTGTACTCTTTCTATACCTGCACTTGCTTGTTTACCTTGATATATATGATCTTGCATGTGAACTGGCCTTGTGGCCTTGCTCTTGTGCCCGGACTGTGTGGTGACTTTGTGATCCACCCTGAGCTTGCTTTGTTTTGCCTGACTGGTCTTGTTACCACTTGTTCTCCCCCACTTTGCCTATGGGGGTGTGTCAAAACATTATAGTTTATACTTCTGTGTAGGCTGTAGTGGGGTAGCCCATAAGGGGTACAACCCAATTAGGGTTAGTACTTGTACCCAACTGTTTCATAGTTCAATTATTCTCGTTCTAATTTTCACACGGATTTGCATGCGAAATGCTTCGCGAGGGTTCTTTGAGGGACAGACCACTCGGAAACGGCTCCGATTGGCTGGATCCGTTTCGGCGCGCTGGGGTTCGGCCCTCGCCCTCAGATTGGAGAGCGATGGGTTTCGCGAGGGGTTTCGCGAGCCAGGGCTGGGCCCGGGGGGGCCCGGGGTTGAGACCACGCTGTGTGGCGCTGGCGTGGCCCAGGCTCTGCGCGGGACCACCCCGCCAGCTTGCTCCGCCGCCCGGATCTCGCTAGGGAACCTGGGAGGGGGCGGGGGACTCCCTCTCGCGTGCGATTCCCAGTTGGGGGTCGCGACACACTAGGCATTCGCGTGCGGCCCTGGTGGAAACCCGTTGCCACCAAGAGGGGGCCCTGGTGAGAACCAACCCACCAGGGCCCAGATGGACTGTTGAAATCTTAGCGACACGAAAAAACATGTTTTCATGACTGTTTGTGATTCCACAAAATTCCAGTGGGTGCCCGAGTTTCGGAGGGAAAGGGCGGGAAAATCGGTTTGGGGGGGCGGGCGCAAACGAAGTCCATCTAATGAAGGGAAACGCCCACGTAGCAAAGGGGAAGAAATTCTGGTTAATTTAATTAAGAAAAACACATTTTTTGCCAATGCACGCAATTTCTCCCTGTAAATCACTTGTCCCTCAGGTTCCCCCCACTCCCCCCCCATCTTCCCTAGCCCCCCTCAACCACCCCCTTCTCCCCCACTCCCCCCTTGGTCAGCCTTGATTCGAGTGTGCGCCTGCGGTGACCCGCCTGATTCCACCTCCCCAGCCCCCCTTCCGCCCTCCCTCCCCCTCCGCGCTCCTTCTCGTCGGCGCATTTGCCTTGAAATCTTCGGCTCGTTCTTGTACAGTTGTGCTGTGCCGTACAAAATGTTGTACACGCACACCAACCTTGAGATTGTCGAGTCTTGAGTGGACCAGAAATTAGTGGTTGTATCGTCTGTCATTCTAAGATAAGCTTGATGTCATTCTGATGCGTAGCTCCGTCGACCATCACGTAGCGCAATTATGGTGATACCTAGACGGAATCGACGCCGCTTAGCGGGCGCTGCGAGCCAGGGTCATGGCGAGCGATCGTCGTTGTTTCAATTCAGCCACGTGGCACGGAGCAAGCGATTTTGGCTGATCTGCATCTCGCTAGTGGCGGGATATAACCTCCTCGTCATGAACCTCGCAGGTCAAACGCTCGCTTTAAGTTTCACCCATGCTTCCACTCTGTTAGCTGATCGCGACTCGCTTTTAGCGGTTTTTTCGACCCATATCTTTGGATGAAGCTACCGTATATCAGGATCTGCCGCCAAATCCGGCCAGATAAGATTGAATGAGAGTAGCGAACAGTAGCATAACGTCGCAACACCGTTTCCGTCTCATCATCACACTTCTGTCTAAACCTTTCTCACACCATTTCCGCCCCACTTTTTCGCACCCCAAGTTAATCCATGGCGAATTGTCTCTAATTGCAAGCCGTCCCTCCTGTGCCTTTTCCTGTACAAAGAACTGAAATTGAGCCCGGATGAAGCCGAAGCGTTCTTATCTGTTGCGTCTTTAAATTCTATAACATCATTCCTAACCCGCTTGTTTCACCCCTCTCAACCCCTCCGATTCTATCAGGTCGGGAGGTGGACAGTCCTCCTCTCCGCGTGTGGTCCTTCCTATTGGGCGGAAGTGACGTGGAGCGCGTACCTGGCGACCCCGCATTGGCTGACGAGCCCACCGCTGACGTCACTACCAAGGCTCTGTACGACGAGATCGCGTTCGAGAACCTTCGGGGAGGCGTGTGGACGCAGGTGGGTGGGAGGCGTGTGGTGGGTGGGTGGGTTGGGTTTGGTTGGCTGTGCAGATTTGGGTCCTTGTATTGGCTGGGAAAGAGATTCTCTGAAATGCATATAGATCAAGTCACCAGTAAGCGTCATGCCTAAGTCTTCACTTCTTCAAATCAGGCAGGCCATGGATGCAAGCAAAAGGTTGAACAAGGCATCTGTCTGTGTGATGTGATGTGACCTGTCCTGTGTGTGTCGTGTCACAGGGTTTCCCCCTGGAATACACGGGGCACGAGTGGGACGAGGAGCCGTTGCGAGTGCTGGTGGTGCCACACTCCCACAACGACCCGGGCTGGCTGGAGACGGTGGAGGAGTATTACAGGTCGAGCACTCGCGGCATCATTGACACCATCGTCAACGCCCTCTCCGAGGTGTGCTTATAACGAGTATTTTCTATGAGAGTGGTGCTTATAGTGAGGATGCTTGGTGTGGTTCAGTTCAGCTCTGGTGCAGGAAGTAAGCCTGGTTGTTGTTGCCTGTGCCTGGACTGGTCTACCGTCTACCCCGTCCCTAAAGCTGCTGTCTGTCTTTCTCCCTCTCTGTTGGCTCTCATCCCCTTTAGAAACCGACTCGCAAGTTCATATGGGAGGAGATGTCGTACCTGTCGCGGTGGTGGATGGACGCGAGTGAGGAGATGAAGGGCAAGCTCAAGGCGCTGCTGCGGAACGGCCAGCTCGAGATCGTGGGCGGCGGATGGGTCATGAACGATGAGGTGCGGTGGGGATGGTTCATGAACGACTAGGTGAGGTGGGGGAAATGGGTAGTGAATGATGCGATGATGAGTTGGACGAGGATGGTTGCAGAAGCGTTTTGTCTCGTTCAGTGTTGCTCTCTAAACTTTATCGAACGCCCTTATGAATGTCTATCCCATACTTCATGCCCATTGCCTTATGCCCCCATATCTCACACAGAATGTCCCATGCCACCATGCCCCAAACTTGATGCCCTATGCACGGTACCTCATGCTCCAGGACCATCTCCCATGTTCCCCGTACCCCATGCCCGATGCCCCATGCCCGATGCCCCATGCCCGATGCCCAATGCCCCATGCCCCATGCCCCATGCCCCATGCCTGATGCCCGATGCCCGATACCCCATGCCTCGTTCACAATGCCCCATGTCCCATACCCCATGCTCCATGTGCCATGCGGCCATGCTCCAAGCTCCATGCCATGCCCGATGATCCATGGCATGACCCATGCCCCATGCCCTATACCCCATGGTCCATACCATGCCCAATGACCCATGGCTCATGCCCCATATCCGATTCCCAGAATGCAGCCTCAGCTGTACACCCCTATCTGTCCGCGTCCGTGTGTGTGTGCGTGCAGGCAAACTCTCACTACTTCGCCATCCTCGAGCAGGTATCTTCACTATCCTCCCCTCCCTTTCCCGTTCTTTACTTCCCCCTTTTCTTCCGTCCCTTCCCTTCCCTTCCCTTCCCTTCTCCGTTCCCTTCTCCCTTCCCTTCCCTTCCCTTCCCTTCCCTTCCCTTCCGTTCCCTTCCGTTCCCACCCCTCCCCTTCCCTTCCTCTTTGCTTCGAGGCGAACCGAACAGGTTTTTTTCTTTGGCTTAAAGTGTTCGTGACAAACGTGTTAGAGGTTCGCCCGAACACGTTCGTGTTCGGGCCGCTGCTGCAATTTGCCCCGCGTTGAACACGAACGTGTTCGATGTTCGCCCGGACACGCCTTCACAGGCGAACACCGAACATCTGTTTTTGCTAAAAGTGTTCGCCGAGCCGAACAGTGTTCAGTTCGGCGAACGGCTGTGTTCGTGCAGGGGCAAACACGAACGTGTTCGTGTTCGCCCCTTGCTCATCCCTACTCATGCATTCTCCATTCCTAAGCCAGCGTGACCATTTCCAAGCAACCCTTTCTCTGGACAACCTTGCATCCCTTGTTCCATCCCTCCCTACTCTGCTACCTTTACGCCACCAACTCCACTACCCTGACCCTTCCCATCCCCTCCCTCCCCCCGTCCCCCTCTTCCCGCCCTCCTTCTCCCCCTTCCCCCCCACCCCATCCCCCAACCCAGATAACGGAGGGCAACACGTGGCTGCACGATGCAGTGGGGGTGGTGCCCACCAACTCATGGTCCATCGACCCATTCGGCTACAGTGCCACCATGCCCTACCTGCTGCTCCACTCCTTCACACGCCTCAGGAACAATTTCTCACTCCATCCTTCTCTCCCCTGCTCCATTCCACTCCCTCCTCCCCCCGCCCCCCTCTTCCCCCCTCTGCCTCCCCTGGCACATCTCCTCTCCCCCTTCCCTCTCCCCCCCCGCTCTCCCCACCACATCAGATAACGGAGGGCAACACGTGGCTGCACGATGCAGTGGGGGTGGTGCCCACCAACTCATGGTCCATCGACCCATTCGGCTACAGCGCCACCATGCCCTACCTGCTGCACCAGTCCGGCTTCCACAACATGCTCATTCAGCGCGTGCACTACGAGATCAAGAAAGTCTTAGCTAAGCGCCGACACTTAGAGTTCTACTGGCGCCAGGCGTGGGATAAGAGCGGCGGGAAGACGACCCTGGGGCCGGGAGGGGATGGTGGGGGGGAACAGGGGAGTGGGGAATCAGGGGTGGGTGAACAGTCAGCAGCAGCAGGCGGGGCAGCAGCAGCAGCCGCAGCAGAGGGTGCAGCAGAAGCAGGAGCAGGAGCAGCGGGGAAGACAGACATTCTATGCCACATGATGCCATTCTACTCGTACGACATCCCACACACGTGCGGGCCAGACCCCTCTGTGTGCTGTCAGTTTGACTTTGCTCGCACGGCTGGTGGCGAGCACTCCTGCCCGTGGGGCATGCCTGCTGTGGATATCACACCTCAGAACGTGGCAGAGAGGGCAGCGACCATTCTGGACCAGGTGAGGATCCTCCCTTCCTGGCCCTGTCTGTCCGTCTCACTGCCCTTCTGTGCGCTGTCAGTTTGACTTTGCTTGCACAGCTGGTGGCGAGTACTCGTGCCCCTGGGGCACTCCTGCTGTGGATATCACACCTCAGAACGTCGCAGAGAGGGCAGCGACCATCCTTGACCAGGTGAGCCCCCCTTGTCGGTTTAGGCCCGTCTGTCTGTCCGTTCCGCCTGACTCTCTGATTCCTTCATCGCTCCAACGTGGTGCTCGTCCCATTGGGGTCGACTTGCACTGCCCCATCCCGCCCACCTTGAACAAGGCCCATTGGCAGTTCTATACCTCCTAACTTCCCCCTCCCGTCACCTACCCCCCACCTTGACTTTCTCCTCCTTGTGCCGCCCCCAACCTTCCCTGACCCCCACCCTTATCCACCCTTCTCTGCCTGCCTCCCACCAGTGGCGCAAGAAGGCTCTGCTGTATCGCACCAAGGTGGTGCTGGCTGGAAGAGAAGTTGGCAAACACTATGCAGGAACGTGACACAGTCCTTGAACTAACAAAGAAAGTTGCCAGTTTGGCAGAGAAGTTGGCGAACAAGAATTTCACAATGGAGCTCACAGATTCCGTTGCTGACCAAGTGGTTTTTTATATCTGTGAGCTCCATGGTGAAATCCTTGTTGACCAACTTCTCTTCCAAACTGGCAACTTTCTTGGTTAGTTCAAGGACTTTGTCACGTTCCTGCATAGTTCAAGGACGAGTTCCGCTACCCAACCATGCGGGAGGCACACAGCCAGCTCCCATAAGCTCCCATCCCCCCATCCCATCTGCCTGTGTTCCACCAGTGCCGCAAGAAGGCCCTCCTCTATCGCTCCAAGGTTGTCCTGGTTCCTCTGGGCGACGATTTCCGGTACCCCACCATGCGGGAGGCCCACGCCCAGTTCACCAACTATGAGCGCCTTTTTGACCACCTCAACACCTACTCCCGTCAACTGTTGTTTTCTCTCCGTCTTTCCCCTGCCCCAACTCTTCCCCTCCCCCCGCCTTTCCCCCCGCCCACCCACCACCTCTGCTTCCCCTCAGTGGCGCAAGAAATCCCTTCTCTATCGCTCCAAGGTCGTCCTGGTCCCTCTGGGGGACGATTTCCGCTACCCCACCATGCTGGAGGCGCACGCCCAGTTCACCAACTATGAAAGCCTCTTTGACTATTTCAACTCCCGCCCGGACCTTCGAGTCAACGCCAGCTTCGGCACCCTTGGGGACTATTTCAATGCTGTCAGAGAGGCTGCTGTTAGGGAGGCTACTCTCCATAGCAAGGGCGCTGTTATCGGGGCTACTTCTGTTGACGAGGTTGCTGCTGTTAACGAAGCGTCTCTTAACGAAGCCCAGCAGGACCTTCCGTCCGAGCACCCGGTGTTCACCTCCCACGAACTCTCATCCGAGCCCACCACCATCTCCACCCGCCACCTTCTCTCCACACACCCCTCCTCCCACCCCTCCTCTCTCCTCTCCTCGATCCCCGCCTCTCACCCCTCCGCTCTCGCTGCCCACCTCTACTCCCTCCCCCCCTCGCTCCACCCGAACCTGCCCTCCCTCTCTGGAGACTTTTTCACATACGCGGACCGAGAGCAGGATTACTGGAGCGGGTATTTCACCTCTCGCCCCTTCTGGAAAGCCGTAGACCGTGTGCTAGAGTCTGCTGTACGAGCAGCAGATATCCTCTTTGCTCTGACGTGGTCTCAGCTGCAGGCGAGAGGGGGTGGCGGAGGGGGGGGGCTGATGACGCGGATGCTGGGGGGAGCGAGTAAGGAGGGGGGAGAGGTGGGGGAGGTGATGGAGAGATTGGCAGAGCAGGCGGAGTGGATGGGGAAGGGAGCGGGGAAGGGTGGGAGGGGGGTGGGGGGAGGGCAGCGTGGGGAGGACAACTTCCTGCATCTCCTGTTTCCCCTCAAGTGAGTGCTCGATTGACTGACGTTTGATTGCTTTTCAGTGACTCAGAATAGATTCAGAGGCAGTGCGGGCAGGGTCATCTCCAATGGGGCACCTTGGCAGCAGGCTAGCAGCAATCAATCAACCCTGCTTTTCCCATTCTGCTCCTTTGCCTTGCAGCTTTGCAGAGCAGCTGGTTCGCGCGCGGCGCATCTTGGCGCTGTTCCAACATCACGACGGCATCACCGGCACGCCGTGAGTGAGGCGCCTTAACAACAACCCCCCCCCCCCCCCCCCCTCTCCCCTTTCCCCGTTTCACCAGTTTTGCAGAGAGGCTGGTTCGCGCACGGCGCAACTTGGCGCTGTTCCAACACCACGACGGCATCACTGGCACGGCGCGGGACCCTGTGGTGATGGACTATGGGCTTCGCATGCACACCGCCCTTAATGACCTCAATGTACGTGCCCCTTGATAGGCAGTGGGGCCACGGGCAAATTTCCTGTTACAGCTTCTAGCACACGGGAATCTGTGGTGGTGGACTATGGGCTTCGCATGCACACTGCTCTTAATGACCTCAATGTACGTGCGGCTCCTTCCCTCCTTCTCTATCTCCTCCTTCCCTGTCAAAACTCCACCTTTTCATCAGGACCCGATGTGTGCTGCTACAGCTCCCCTATCTTATTACGCTGCATAATCAACCTCTCCCATCCCTGTTTCCCCCATCGTCCCCTGCCCTCCTGCCCACTCAACCTGTAAGCCTCTCTTTTTCCATTCTTTTCTTAATTATTTTCTTTTCTTTTTCTTGCAGGACCTCATGTGTGCGGCGGTGGTGGCGCTGCTATCAGACTCGCCCACGCAGGACCCTGAGAAGTCCCCCGTTCACCTGCGCCCAGAGCAGCACCGCAACCTGCAGCACATCCTGCCCGCCCACTTTTCCCCCATTCTCCCCCCCCTTCCCCTCTTCCCTTCTTCCCCCTTTGTGTCCACTCATCCTCATATATTTCTCCCGTTCTTTCCTTGTCCATTCCGAATCTTCCCGGCAGGACCTCATGTGTGCGGCGGTGGTGGCGCTGCTGTCAGACTCGCCCACGCAGGACCCTGAGAAGTCCCCCGTCCAGCTGCGCCCAGAGCAGCACCGCACCCAGCAGCACATCCTGCCCTCCCACCTCCCCCTCTCCTTCCCCTCCTTCCCCTCCTCCACTCCCCTGTCTGTTTTAGCCAGAGAGCCTGCAGGGGTGGGTGGTGGAGGAGAGGGAGGGGGGAGGGAAAAAGTGGGAGCAGCGGGGACGGGGGTTGGAGGAGGAGAATTGGGAGGGGAGGCAGCAGGGGCTGGAGCAGGGATGGGAGGAGGGGTTGGGGGAGGTGACAGTGGGGAAGGTGGGACTGGGGGAGGCGTGGATGTGGGAGGCAGGCGGCGTGTTCTGGAGGTGAAAGTAGGGGAGCAGTCAGGCACGGAGCGGAAGGGGCTAGAGGTGCAGGAGGGGCAGGGAGGGGAGGGTGGCACGGTGCGGCGCGTTGTGGTGTATAACCCTCTGGAGGAGGAGGTGAAGCAGGTGAGCAAGGGGATGAAAGAGAGGAGATGAGAAGGAAGATGAGAGGGGAGCAGGGAGGGTTAGGGGCCGTGCGGCGCTTTGTGGTGTATAATCCGCTGGAAGAGGAGTTGAAGCAGGCGAGCAAGGGGAAGATGAAAAGGGAGCAGGGAGAGAGTGGCACGGTGCGGCGCATTGTTGTGTATACCCCTCTGCAAGAGGAGGTGAAGCAGGTGAGGGAGAAGAGCAGAGAAGCAGGCACGGATTTGTTCCTCTGTTTCTGAACTCGGACGGCCCCAAGTGCTTCGTGCCGAGCTTATGCCGTTCCCTCCCCCCCCCTCCCCTCTTCTCCTCTTCCCCCACCCCCGCCCCACTTCCCTCACAGGTCATCTCTGTGGTGGTGGAAATCCCTCTCGTTGCAGTGCTCGGCCCCAAGGGCACCTGCCTGCCAGCGCAGCTCATGCCAACACCCTGACCCACCCTCTTCTTCCCCTTACACCTCCCTCCTCTCCCCTCTCCCAACCCGTTTTCCACTCGTTTCCTTCCTTCTCAGATCATCTCAGTGGTGGTGGAGATCTCGCTGGTCTCAGTGCTCAGCCCTAAGGGCACGTGCCTTCCCGCCCAGATCATGCCAGAGTGGGTCAACCCGCCCCCTTTCACTCCCAAGCCTCTCCAAAACGCCACCTCTACCACCACAGCTAGTAGCGGCACTCTCCCAACTGACACCTCCACTGCTGCTGCCACAGCCACAGCTGGAGCCACTGCTGCTGCTGCTGAGTCTGCTGCCCCTCTGTCTGTCACAACAGGGAGACACAGGTTGTTCTGGGTAGCCACAGTGCCGGCTCTCGGTCTCCAAACCTTCGTGGTCGGCCCGCCCGAAACTTTGCCCAACTGCCCGGCAGCAGAGCTCTCGCGCGTCGAAGTTTCCAACCCGCCCGCGGGATTCGTTTGCCCGAAGCCGTATAACTGCACCGTGCACGATCCAAAGGAGGACGACGCCTTTTCGATCGGGAACCACGAGCAGCGAGTCAGATTCTACGCTGCGAGTGGACTCATGAAGAATATCCAGCATAGGAGAATCATCAGGGACACAATAGTGGACGAGCAATTCGCAGTGTATACCGGTCGGAGTGGGGCGTATCTGTTTCTCCCTGGTGGTGACGCGGTCCCTATAGTAACTGACGGTGGTGCGTCGTTTATATCCCGAGGGGAGGTAGCAGAGGAGGTGCATACAGTGTTTAGTTTCCTGCCTGTGGAAGCGTGGGACGGGACAGGGCAGATGCTGGGGGAATGGGAGCTGCAGCAGCGGCGGCAGTGGCGGCTGCAGAGGCGGAAGCAGCAGCTGCAGCAGCAGCGGCAGAGGCAGCAGCAGCAGCAGCAACAGGGGCTGCAAAGGCAACGGGATAGGGAGGCACAGGGTGGAGGTGGAGGGGACAAGGGGCTGAGAGTATTGAGAGAATCACTGAGGAATGCTGCTTTGAACCATTTGCAATCTTACGGGCACAGGCATGGGCATGGGCATGGGCATGGGCATGGGCATGGGCACGAGCATTGGCTTGAGCGTGAGAATCCACATTTGCATGAGCACTTGCATGAGCATGAGCGTATGCGTATGCATCAGATGGACAGGAACGAGAATACACAAGCACAGGCGGTTGCAAGGATGCCCGGGGATGAGCATTGGCTTGAGGATTCACACGCGCAGGCGCTGGCACAGGGACAGGCGCAGGTGCAGGCGCAGGTGCAGGCGCAGGCGCAGGTGCAGGCGCAGGCGCAGTTGCAGGGGCAGATTGGAGGCCGAGGGGAGCAGCAGGAGGTTCGGCCGTTGAGTGAGGTGGAGGCGATGAGGCAGAGACTAAGACAGCGGGCACAGCCGGGGGATGTGGTGCTGTGGCAGCAGGATCAGGAAGGGCAGGGCGGGCAGGGGGGGCAGGGGGGGCTGGGCGGGCAGGGAGGGCACGGAGGGCAAGGAGGGGAGGGAGGGCAAGGAGGGGAGGGAGGGCGAGGGGTGAGTTTGCAGCAGCTGCAGTACCCAGAAGTGGAAGTGGGGCCGTATTCAGGGAGAATGCAGCAGCTGAGACAGTTCCAGGTGGCTAGGAGACGGCTGCTGGGGGAGAGTGGTGGTGTGGGAGAGGATGAGGAGGAGGATGAAGAAGTTGCTGCTGGTGATGATGAAGGAGAGGAGGAAGAGGAGGAAGAGGAGGAAGAGGAGGATGAAGTTGTTGCTGCTGCTGATAATGAGGGAGAGGAGGAGGCTGAGGAGGAGGAGGGTGAGGAAAACGAAGATGGAGATCACACCCAGGCAGATCACATCCTTGCACCTGAAGAACATGCTGTGGTTGAGAACCACGCAGGGGGGGTATCAGAGGCTGCAGCAGAAATGGTGGGTGGGGATGGGGAGGCATTGGTTGGGGGTTTGAGGAGAAAGCTTTTGCAGGTGAGGCGTAAGGGAAGGAAGAAGAGGAAGGGCAGGAAGGGGAGGAAGAGAAGTGTGAGTGGGGCAAGTGGGGAGGATGGTGGTGTTGCCAGTGGTGAAATTGGCAGGGCTGATGAAATGGCAGGGTTGGGGGGGAGTGGGAGCGGTGCTGCTGCTGATGTCGATGGTAGGGGGGCAGCGGTAGGGACGAGGAAGAAGGGACGGAAAGGGAAGCTGAAACGGAGGAAAAGAAGGGGGCAGCACCAGGAAGGGACAACCGATGCAAGTGGCGCTGTTGGTGCTGCTGGTGATGCTGGTGGTGGTGATGGTGGTGGTACTGAAGGTGCGACAGGTGCAGTTTCAGGAGAGAGATTGGGTGAAGGAGCCCTGAGTGGAGCAGGAACGCTCAGGTTTCATGGAGGGCTGCCAGTAGTAGGGATGGGAGAAGGAGGGGTGGGAACAGGAGGGGTGGGAGCAGGAGGGGAGGTTGGTCATAGGATCCGGAAGAGAGTACATGATGGCAGTGACTTTGACGCTGCTGCTAGATCGGAATTGCCTGAGCAGGTCATTACAGTGCACAGCACAGATAATGATGCTGGTGGTGGTGATGGTACCGGTACTGGTGTTGGTGGTGCCGGTGCTGATGCTGGTGATGTTGGTGGTGGTGGTGTTGATGCTGAGAGCAAAGGCGGGGCGGATGGAGGGGCGGACGAGGGGCACGAGGTGGGAGTGGAGGAGGACGAAGGGGAGCAAGAAAGGCCTGACCCAGCGAGTCTAGACGTGACCCGCCGCGACTGGGAGAGCAGCAGCGGCGACGGCGGTGGCGGCAGTGGGGAGCAGGGCAGTCAGGAGGGTGAGGGTGATCTCGACTTGGACGAGCTCCAGAAGGCAGCAGAGGCTGCAGCCAAGATGGATAAGCAAGGGTGGGAGGAGGCGGCGGATGGGCTGGAGGAGCCGCAGGTCCTGGAGGAGCCATTGTTGGAGGAGGAGGAACCTCTCATGCCGGTCGTGCGCTCTGTCATGCTCTACAAAGTCAGGGCCCCTCAGGTGCGTTTTCAGAACCGCTGGAGGAGCCGCAGGTCCTGGAGGAGCCATTGCTGGACGAGGAGGACGAGGGGCACGTGATGCCTGTTGTGCGCTCTGTCATGCTCTACAAAGTCAGTGCCCCTCAGGTGAGTCCTCAGGTGTTTTTCATGCTCTACAAAGGCAGGTTGCCTCAGGTGCGTTCTCAGCACCATGAGCAGCATCTAGCACCATGAGCAGCATCTAGCACCATGAGCAGCATCTAGCACCATGAGCAGCATCTAGCACCATGAGCAGCATCTAGCACCATGAGCAGCATCTAGCACCTGCTCTCTCCCTGTCTCCCGATCTCAATCCCAGCCCCTCCCTGTGCGCCCTGCCCCTCTGCGTCAATCCCATCCCACCCACCAGGGCCTGCTGATAGAAGCACGCCATCATGTGAACATCTCATCAACGGCAGTGGACATCAAGGAACTCGTGGTGCGCTACCACCCCAACCCTCACTCCTTCCCATCCCACCCACCAGGGCCTGCTGATAGAAACGCGCCACTGGGTGAACATCTCATCAACAGCAGTGGGCAACAAGGAGCTCGTAGTGCGCTACCGCACGTCCATCGCCTCCTCCCCCCTCTTCTACACCGACTCTAACGGCTTCCAGACCGTCTGCTGGGAGACCCTTGTAGCACGTTACCGCACCAACCCTGACTCCTCTTCCCTGCCTTCCCTGTGCGCCCTGTCCCTCTGCACCCCTCCCATCCCCCCTGCACCAGGGCCTGCTGATAGAGACCAAGCACCTAGTCAACATCTCATCAACAGCAGTGGACAACAAGGAGCTCGTCGTGCGCTACCGCACGTCCATTGACTCCTCACACCTCTTCCACACCGACTCCAACGGCTTCCAGACCGTTCGCCGCGAGACGCTCCCCAAGCTGCCCACGCAGGGCAACTTCTACCCCATGCCCGCCCTCGCGTTTATTCAAGACCCCTCTGGAATCCGGTTCTCCGTTCACACGCGCCAGGCTGTGGGCGTGGCCAGCCTTAAGGTGAGCTGTGTGTGTGTGCATAGCTTTGTGTTTCAGGTGTGTACGTGTATCTACATTCATACCTTATCACTGCCGTCTCTGCCACCTCTGCGTCCTTAGTCACTCCGTCTTCTCCTCTCCACCCCCGTGCTCCTTCCCTGCATCAGACCGGCTGGTTGGAGATGATGTTGGATCGCTGGCTCTCACAGGACGACAACAAGGGCATGCAGCAGGGCGTGTTGGACAACCACCCCCCTTACTCTCTCGCGCTCTTACTAATTCCCTCGTTTCATCCCCCCCCCCACTCGCCACACCAGACTGGCTGGTTGGAGATGATGTTGGATCGCCGGCTCTCACAGGATGACAACAGGGGCATGCAGCAGGGAGTGTTAGACAACCACCCCACACAAACCATTTTCCATCTCGTCCTCGAAAGAAACACCTCCGCCCGCCCCTTCCCCTCCGCCTCCTCCTCCGCCGCCCTCCTCCCCTCCCTCACTTCGCAACGAATTGGCTCGCGCCTCAACTACCCGCCGTATCTCTTTGTCGGGCAGCCCGAAAGCCCGTCGAAATTCGTTTCCGGGCAGGATGTAGATGCCGGACGAGGGGCTGGCAAGAAGGGGAGTGGCAGTAGCAGCAGCAAGGCAGTGAAACCGGGTGTTTTGGCTGGCACTGCGGAGCCGAAGCCGGGCGGCCTTGGTTGGACGTATTCTCCACTGGGCCGCCCATTACCGTGTAACATGCATGTGGTCAGCTTCAAGGTGCATCGGCCCATGCCCAATGCCTCGGTACGTGCTCCCCCTGCTCCCCCTCCATTTCCCTCCATTTCCCTCCATTTCCCTCCATTTTCCTCTCGGTACGTGCTCCCTCTGCTCCCCCTCCATACCCTCCTCCTTGCGTTGCACTTCTGCATGCTCACTTTTCCACTTAGTTTCCTCCCCTGCTACAAGCTCTCTCTAGCCCCATTTCAGTGCTCTGAGCCGTCTCTAACCCCTGTGCTGCCCCAACACCTATGGGGGCTCGGCTCCCATCCTGCAGCTCTTAGCAACCTCGTTCACTCACCTCCTTTTTCTCTCTCCTCTCACACTCTCAAGCAGCTCACCCGGCTCTTTACAACCTCCTCTTTCTTTCTCTTCCCACTCCCACTCTCAGGTGCACTCTGAGCCGCCTCTAGCGCTCGTTGCAGGGGCTTCGATCACAGCTTTGGGGACTCGCACCGCGAGGCTCCCTGCAAGCTCACCCAGCTCTTTACAACCTCCCCACTTTGTCTCCCTTTCTCTCCCGCTCTCAGGTGCACTCCGAGCCGCCTCTAGCCCTGGTGCTGCACCGCAGGGGCTTCGATCACAGCTTTGGGGGCGCGCATCGTGAGGCTCCCTGCAAGGTCACCCCCACTGGCCAAGTGCACCTCGCGCGTCTCTTCTCCGGCGCTTATGTAACAGAGTTCGAGGAGTTCCCACTTAACCTCGTCCGACCCAGCCCAATAGCAGCAGATTTGGGGTCGCCTGGTCAGGGTTCGGAGGATTCAGTGGGAGTGGGAGGGAGAGAGGGGGGGAACAGGACAAGGGGAGGGATGAGCGCGGCGGGGGCGTTTGCGAAGAGAGCATGGCAGCAGAGAGTGAGAGGCGGGGTGACGAGCCTCAAGTTGGAAGTGATGGAGCTGAAGGCTGTCAAGCTGCAGATGACGATGAAGGCACGCAGGAAAGGGTGGGGGAGGTGGAGGAGCAAGTGAAACCATGGTGATCTTGATATTGTCAAATGGGGGAAATGAAATTGTGGATGTTTTCAAATGATCAGGGTAATAAATTCGTGTTCTAGTCTAGGCCAAAAGTATGAATTGTTCAATTTTCTATACCTCATCTTAATTTTAGCAGTAGCTTTAAGCCATCCACCGTCTCCAACCGTAGCGGACCGTGCTATTAGCCCCTCAGTGACGTAAACTCTACACTCGAATCCAATGTGGTGAAGAAAAGCAGGGTTCGCCATTGTTCGGCAGCCATAGCCACCCGCAACAGCACAAGCCTGTGAGCACTTCTCGCTCCTGCTGCCGTCACTTGCGCTATTGTTGCGTGATAAGCAGCTGTCGAATCAGTTCGACAAGGCTTTTTGTCAAGGCAACTGATACTGTAGCTCGCGAACATGCCGTACACCGGAAAGAGCTCGCTCGCTCTTGTAAGCGTTTACTTCCTCGTTTTTTTGTCGCGATCCCTTCCATTAGTGAACCCTGCTTCGTGTGTGTTTCTTGCATCCGATTGTCGAACGACAAGCGCTTGTAACCGTCGGATCTGTCTACGTCATCTCAGCCAGTCAGGCTTCGACGCGTGTGAAGTTTTCTCACGAATCTCGCTGATTCTTTCCGCAGATCGCGAGGGTTTCTGCAGTTGGAGTGGGTGTCGCCTACGGCGCGACGATGCTCACGTACCTGCGGGTACGATCTCCTTCTCATTCCTCGTTTTCTTAGGACTCCTGGTCTGCGTTCATTTCATTCGTGAGCGGTTGACTTGCCAACTCTGATTGTGGCTGTTGGCGTGGGTATCGCCTACGGTGCGACGATGCTCACGTACCTGCGGGTAGGACTACCTTCGCCTCCTTGCCTTGGCACACTTGATTCGTGATCCTTCAGTGTGTGAAGTCCAGATTTGTTAAATACCCATTGTGACTGTTGGAGTGGGTGTCGCGTACGGTGCGACGATGCTCACGTACCTCCGGGTAGGAATAGCTTCGCGTGCTTTCCTGCCGGGATACCTGATCTTTCGAATCGTGATCAGTTCATCATTTTCAATTTGCGAACTCTCATTGTGGCTGCTGTCGTGTGGTTGTCGCCAACGGCGTCACCATGCTAACATACCTCCGGTTATTATCTCCCTTCCTGCGTCTTTGCCTTAGGCCACGTTATTTTTGTGAATACTCAAACTCTTCTTATGACTTATGGTTCTCTTACGAGCCAACGATGCCACCCACGACGCCACCCCTTGCTCACATTCCTTCAGGCCCTCTCATGTGCCGGTTGTGTATTATTTTGAAGCCCTTTTCTGATTTTCCGCTGTTTGTTTTCCGTGCTTGCCACCCTGATTGCACAGGCAAAGAAGGCTGCAGCTGCAAAGAAGAATCCTGGCCACCATTAACATGGATATGCCATGAATGACTCTGGTGTATTATGAATATATTGCTTTAATGACAGGAGACACATTCTGCAAGGCATAGTGAAGCAGGCCTATCCTGTTGTACCAAGCCTTCCTTTATGCCCTTCATTGTCGAACAGCGGTGAACATGCATTTGCATGTCAGAAGCTACGCAACTGTCATGTTACACCCATCTGAGGCAGCGGTAATACATTGTACTTTTCAACCGATGGTGTTACATTAGAATGGATATAACATCTACCAGCCACTGCCACTCCCACCCAGATGTCTGGGTCTCAGCAGCAGTAGTACCCTGCATACTGGGTGGCTTCCGAGAGGTGAGAGAGGAACAGCAACACCGGCTGCTCCTACCACTCGCTGTCGGTCCCCTGCACTCTGCTCACAAACTGCACGCCCTTCCCCCGCCGCTTCCTCTTCACCGTCAGATGATCCGCCAGCGACGGCTCAAACGCCCAGAACTGCATCCCAGGCACCTGCCACCAGTACGAGTCCACCGGGTCGTTCACAAAAAACCTCTCCACCAGCTTCCGAGCGCCCTCCAGCGACACTATATACGCGAACGAGCACCACACGAGTGGGGATATAACCACGTGTTGGGAGAGCTTTGGGTAGTAGAACGAAGTCATGATGCCGGATTTTCCGAGGAAGACTATATCGGGGCGGAATGGGTTGATCTCCCGTGTGACCACCTCGTTGGCCTCCGCTACGTCTCGCTCGAACACCTCTTTGAAAGAGTGCGTTAAGAACCGCACGTCGTCTTCGAATATTATGGCGTATGGGAGCTGCCTTCGCACGACCTCCAGCCAGACGAAGTAGTGGGAGAGCGCGCACCCGACCTCGCCCTTGCTCAGGGTCGGCCGAGCCTGCTTCTCCTGCCACCACGGCGTGGTTCGGGTGCGTGCCCGATGCTCCTTGTCCACCAGGTGAGTCACCACCTGGTAGTCTGTGTTGGAGATGGAAATGCCGTTCGCCTTGACTATCTCTCCGAATCCCTGCTGCTGCAGCACGGGTTCCAATGAGACGAACCGGTCAGCGTCTTCAGCCAATCCGATCACGAATGTCGGCCACATCGCCAGTTTGGGCGGCATGGATCGCATCACCACGCGCACACCTGCAGGTGGTTTCATCCCTGGCACCTGGAAAATCACCTGAGAATTCACCCGGAGATTCACCTGGAGATTCACCTGGGAACCTGACCCTGGCACCTGCAGAATATCCTGGTGAGATCGAATCAGGCACTGCGCAGGTGTCCCACAATCGGCATCCACGGCAATGGTAGCCCTAGCTCCCGCTTCCCCCAATGCCTGTCTCACCCAATCCTTCTTCACAATATTCCCCCTGATTCGGGGGTGCCCGGGAAAGCTGAGGAAGAGAGTTTCCCGGCAGGCGGAGGAGAGGCGCGAGGAGGAATGGAGGTCGAGGGGCGGAGCGCGGCAGGGCTTGGGGCGGCACATGAACATCTGGGAGTTGAAGAGAGGAGGGTCTGCTGCTAGGATGTGTGCGTGCGGGACGGTGAAAAGTGCCTCTGATATTGGCCTGGTTGGGAAGCAGAGGGAGGGGGAACAAGGGGGAAAGTTTAGTCAAGGGTGAGGCGAATTGTGAAACTGGGGACGAAGGAAGGGACCATGAGAGGTTGGGGGGCGGATGGAGGAGCAAGTAGGATGCAAGAAAGACAAAGGGCTTGGGGCGGCACATGAACATCTGGGAGTTGAAGAGAGGCGGGTCTGCTGCTGGGATGTGCGCGTGCGGGACGGTGAAAAAGGCTTCTGATATTGGCCTGGTTGGGAAGCAGAGGGTGGGGGAACAAGGGGAAGAGTTGAGTCAAGAGTGAGGCGACTTGTGAGACAAGGGTGGAAGGAGGGGGCACGCGAGATTGATTGGGGGTTGGATGGAGGTGCAAGTACGATGCAGGGAGGACAAAGGAGTTGAAGAGAGGCGGGTCTGCTGCTAGGATGTGGGCATGTGGGACGGTGAAAAGTGCCTCTGATATCTGAGTGACTTTTGAGAATTCTCAAAAGTCACTCCAATATAGCTGGCCTGGTGGTGATGGGGTGGGTAAAGGGGGGAGAATTGAGTCAAGAGTGAGGCGAATGTTGAGACTGGGGACCGATGGAGGAAGGGGGTACGTGGGGTTGGGGGGCGGACAGGGGTGATGGGGGCGGATAGGGGTGATGGGGGTGATGGGGGGTGATGGGGGTGATGGGGGTGATGGGGGTGATCGGGGTGATGGGGGTGATGGGGGTGATGGGGGTGATGGGGGTGCTGCTCCAAGAATGGCGCGAGGGAGGAGCATGCACGTGGCAGCAGAGGAGGCACGTGCACATGCACGTGGCTTCACGATGTTGCCCGTGAGCTGCTGCTCCAGGTAGGGCGCGAGGGCGATGAATGGGATAAGAGTAGCACCACATGCAATGGAAGGAGATGGATCATTCACACGTGTAGCTGCATGCGGGAGAGCATCTTCTTGGCGCCGGCATAGGATGAGGTACGCATGCGACCCCATGCTGGGCTGTGCCTTGAGAATGTTGGCTGTGAGCTGCTGCTCCGAGTAGGGCGCGAGGGCGGAGCGAGCGAGCAGCAGCAGAGGCAGTGGAAAGGATGGCTCACTCACACTTTAAGCCGCATTTGCGACAGCATTCTCTTGGCGCCGGCATATGTGATGAGGTAGGCGTGTGATCCCATGCTGGGCTGAGCCTTCAGAATGTTGGCTGTGAGCTGCTGCTCCGAGTAGGGCGCGAGGGCGGAGCGTGCCAGTAGCAGCACGTCAAAGAAGAAGCGGTTGCCGTTCTGGATTATGAGCAGGTTGAGCTGGCGTAGGAGCTGCATTCGGGGAAGTGTTGAGGGGTGGAAAGTGGTTGTGAGAGGTTGTGACAGATGGAGATGGGTTCTATAGGGCGGAGCGTGCCAGCAGCAGCACGTCAAAGAAGAAGCGGTTGCTGTTCTGGATTATCAGCAGGTTGAGCTGACGAAGTAGCTGCATGAGCTGTGAGAGGAAAGAGGTGAAGTCCCGGCGTGGGGACTAGAGCTGCAGTCCCGGCGTGGGGACTGGAGCTGCAGTAACGGCTTGGGGACTGGAGCTGCAGTCCCAGCTTGGGGACTGGAGCTGCAGTCCCGGCTTGGGGACTGGAGCTGCAGTCCCGGCTTGGGGACTGGAGCTGCAGTCTCAGCTTGGGGACTGGAGCTGCAGTAACGGCTTGGGGACTGGAGCTGCAGTCCCGGCTTGGGGACTGGAGCTGCAGTCACGGCTTGGGGACTAGAGCTGCAGTCTCAGCTTGGGGACTGGAGCTGCAGTAACGGCTTGGGGACTGGAGCTGCAGTCCCGGCTTGGGGACTGGAGCTGCAGTCCCGGCGTGGGGACTAGAGCTGCAGTCCCGGCGTGGGGACTGGAGCTGCAGTCCCGGCTTGGGGACTGGAGCTGCAGTCACGGCTTGGGGACTGGAGCTGCAGTCCCGGCTTGGGGACTGGAGCTGCAGTCCCGGCTTGGGGACTGGAGCTGCAGTCCCGGCTTGGGGACTGGAGCTGCAGTCCCGGCGTGGGGACTGGAGCTGCAGTCTCAGCTTGGGGACTGGAGCTGCAGTAACGGCTTGGGGACTGGAGCTGCAGTCCCGGCTTGGGGACTGGAGCTGCAGTCACGGCTTGGGGACTAGAGCTGCAGTCTCAGCTTGGGGACTGGAGCTGCAGTAACGGCTTGGGGACTGGAGCTGCAGTCCCGGCTTGGGGACTGGAGCTGCAGTCCCGGCGTGGGGACTAGAGCTGCAGTCCCGGCGTGGGGACTGGAGCTGCAGTCCCGGCTTGGGGACTGGAGCTGCAGTCACGGCTTGGGGACTGGAGCTGCAGTCCCGGCTTGGGGACTGGAGCTGCAGTCCCGGCTTGGGGACTGGAGCTGCAGTCCCGGCTTGGGGACTGGAGCTGCAGTCCCGGCTTGGGGACTGGAGCTGCAGTCTCAGCTTGGGGACTGGAGCTGCAGTAACGGCTTGGGGACTGGAGCTGCAGTCTCAGCTTGGGGACTGGAGCTGCAGTAACGGCTTGGGGACTGGAGCTGCAGTCCCGGCTTGGGGACTGGAGCTGCAGTCACGGCTTGGGGACTGGAGCTGCAGTCCCGGCTTGGGGACTGGAGCTGCAGTCCCGGCTTGGGGACTGGAGCTGCAGTCCCGGCTTGGGGACTGGAGCTGCAGTCTCAGCTTGGGGACTGGAGCTGCAGTAACGGCTTGGGGACTGGAGCTGCCGTCCCGGCGTGGGGACTGGAGCTGCAGTCCCGGCTTGGGGACTGGAGCTGCAGTCCCTGCTTGGGGACTGGAGCTGCAGTAACGGCTTGGGGACTGGAGCTGCAGTCCCGGCGTGGGGACTAGAGCTGCAGTCCCGGAGTGGGGACTGGAGCTGCAGTCCCGGCTTGGGGACTGGAGCTGCAGTCCCGGCTTGGGGACTGGAGCTGCATCCCGGCTTGGGGACTGGAGCTGCAGTCTCAGCTTGGGGACTGGAGCTGCAGTAACGGCTTGGGGACTGGAGCTGCAGTCCCGGCTTGGGGACTGGAGCTGCAGTCACGGCTTGGGGACTGGAGCTGCCGTCCCGGCGTGGGGACTGGAGCTGCAGTCCCGGCTTGGGGACTGGAGCTGCAGTCCCTGCTTGGGGACTGGAGCTGCAGTAACGGCTTGGGGACTGGAGCTGCAGTCCCGGCTTGGGGACTGGAGCTGCAGTCCCGGCTTGGGGACTGGAGCTGCAGTCCTGGCGTGGGGACTGGAGCTGCAGTCTCAGCTTGGGGACTGGAGCTGCAGTAACGGCTTGGGGACTGGAGCTGCAGTCCCGGCTTGGGGACTGGAGCTGCAGTCACGGCTTGGGGACTGGAGCTGCCGTCCCGGCGTGGGGACTGGAGCTGCAGTCCCGGCTTGGGGACTGGAGCTGCAGTCCCGGCTTGGGGACTGGAGCTGCAGTCTCAGCTTGGGGACTGGAGCTGCAGTCCCAGCTTGGGGACTGGAGCTGCAGTCCCGGCTTGGGGACTGGAGCTGCAGTCTCAGCTTGGGGACTGGAGCTGCAGTAACGGCTTGGGGACTGGAGCTGCAGTCCCGGCTTGGGGACTGGAGCTGCAGTCACGGCTTGGGGACTAGAGCTGCAGTCTCAGCTTGGGGACTGGAGCTGCAGTAACGGCTTGGGGACTGGAGCTGCAGTCCCGGCTTGGGGACTGGAGCTGCAGTCCCGGCTTGGGGACTGGAGCTGCAGTCCTGGCGTGGGGACTGGAGCTGCAGTCCCAGCTTGGGGACTGGAGCTGCATCCCGGCTTGGGGACTGGAGCTGCAGTCTCAGCTTGGGGACTGGAGCTGCAGTAACGGCTTGGGGACTGGAGCTGCAGTCACGGCTTGGGGACTGGAGCTGCCGTCCCGGCGTGGGGACTGGAGCTGCAGTCCCGGCTTGGGGACTGGAGCTGCAGTCCCTGCTTGGGGACTGGAGCTGCAGTAACGGCTTGGGGACTGGAGCTGCAGTCCCGGCGTGGGGACTAGAGCTGCAGTCCCGGAGTGGGGACTGGAGCTGCAGTCCCGGCTTGGGGACTGGAGCTGCAGTAACGGCTTGGGGACTGGAGCTGCAGTCCTGGCGTGGGGACTGGAGCTGCAGTCCCAGCTTGGGGACTGGAGCTGCATCCCGGCTTGGGGACTGGAGCTGCAGTCTCAGCTTGGGGACTGGAGCTGCAGTAACGGCTTGGGGACTGGAGCTGCAGTCCCGGCTTGGGGACTGGAGCTGCAGTCACGGCTTGGGGACTGGAGCTGCCGTCCCGGCGTGGGGACTGGAGCTGCAGTCCCAGCGTGGGGACTGGAGCTGCAGTCCCGGCTTGGGGACTGGAGCTGCAGTCTCAGCTTGGGGACTGGAGCTGCAGTAACGGCTTGGGGACTGGAGCTGCAGTCCCGGCTTGGGGACTGGAGCTGCAGTCACGGCTTGGGGACTGGAGCTGCCGTCCCGGCGTGGGGACTGGAGCTGCAGTCCCGGCTTGGGGACTGGAGCTGCAGTCCCGGCTTGGGGACTGGAGCTGCAGTCCCTGCTTGGGGACTGGAGCTGCAGTAACGGCTTGGGGACTGGAGCTGCAGTCCCGGCGTGGGGACTAGAGCTGCAGTCCCGGAGTGGGGACTGGAGCTGCAGTCCCGGCTTGGGGACTGGAGCTGCAGTCCCGGCTTGGGGACTGGAGCTGCCGTCCCGGCTTTGGGACTGGAGCTGCACTCACCCCTTCACACATACCACATACCCTCCCCACTCACACTCACCACCCTCCCTCATACCTGCAAACACTCACTCCTTCCCACTCACTCACCCCTTCCATTCGCTGCTTCCACGCTGCATTCGAGTCCACCTTGTTCCGTGCATCGTCCTCAAACACCATCGCATATGGCAGCCGCAGCACCACCACCCTCGCCCACACCTCGAAATGCGCGAATGCGTATGCGAGGTCGTGGGGGTGGAAGGTGGAGCGCAGGGAGAGGGAGCGTGCCGGAAACACTGGGTCGTACCTGGAAAGGGAGAGTAAGGAGGGAAGGCAGGGACGGGAAGCAGTGGGGATGTGAGTGGAATGGCAGTAGCACAGCAGCATTTTTTAGTCGACTCAAGAAGCAGCATCACGCTCTCCAATAGCTTGAGCGTGCAAACGTGGTACGAGAGGCAGTGGGAAGGGAGGGAGGGCGAGAGGGTTGGTGCAAAGTGGTTTTTGAGAATACTCAAAAACCAGCTCGGGAAGGGAGGGAGGGGCAGAGGGTTGGTGCAAAACACGCACATGCTGATTGCATGTGTGTGCAATCACAGGTAGTGATTGATTGATTCCAGCATTTGGCTCCTCCGAGCATCACCACCTGCTTGCACTGCAGCCCTGCTGCTCGCACCTATAAACATGCACACACAACGTACTCTCTCTACCTCCCTTCCCTCCTCCCTCCCCCCACACACTTACCGGGCTTTAAACGGCTCTTCCAGCGCCATGGGCATCACCACCTGTGTGTACTGCAGCCCTGCTGCACGGAACCGCCGGTCAAGATTCTGCCAGAGAGCACAGGTGTGGGACAGAGCCAGGAGACACGCAAAGGCGAGAGGAGAGCACAGGTGGGGGACAGAGCCAGGAGACACGCAAAGGCGAGAGGAGAGCACAGGGGAGAGCACGGGGGCAGATGTAACGGGAGGAGGGCAAGCCACAGGTGGCACGCAGAGAATCTCACCAGCCCTTTCCCGGCTCCACTGTGCAGATCACAAACACGCTCTCAGCAATCCTCCCCCGCAGCTTCAGGGGCAGCCCCGTGCAAAGCAGCAAGAGAGAGCGGAGGCAAACACAAGGCCGGGACAGCAAAGCAAACCGCAGCAAGCAGCAACTCTCACCATACCAGCAGAGTCTCTCTTCTTCCCTTGCCCGGCTCGCCTGTCCCACTCACAAACGCGCTCTCAGCTTGCCAATCGTGCAGCTTCAAGGGCAGCCCCATGCGGCGCAGAAAGAGAGGCAGAGGCAATACAGGCAAAGAGAAGGCAGAGACACAGCAGCAAGCCTCACCATACCAGCAGCGTCTCTCTTCTTCCCTTGCCCGGCTCCCCCGTTCCGATGACAAACACGCTCTCAGCTTGCCACTCCCACAGCTTCAACGGCAGCCCCGTGCGGCGCCGGGAGGGGTCCAGCGTGAGCAGGTGCACGGAGAAGTTTCTGGGAATAAGCGGATCCGGCCAGGGGGCCTCCATTTCTCTAGCACGCTGTAGCTCGTTCAAACAGTCGTCCACTCCCCCTGCTGTTGCTGCTGCTGATACGTTGGCGGGTGAAATGAGAGCACCTCTAGTCGCAGCAGCACCAGCAGCAGCAGCAGCGTGAGCAGCACCTGTGGTTAGTGTTGCAGCTGCAGAGGCAGAAGGGCCTCTTTCCAACAGCGCTGCTCTCCTGCTACTGCTGTGCTCGCTGACGTTGCTAATGGCATTGCTGCCGCTGCCACTGCCGTGTTTCTCGGAGTCTTTCCCTCTCATCTCCACCCTATTGATCACTCCATCACCACTCCCCTTTCTCCTTCTTTTCCTTCCTTTACCACCTCTCCTCCTCGCCTCCATCCTCTTCCTCCTATCGCTCTCAACCACTCTCCGCCACTCCTTTCTACTCCTCGCCTCCTTCTCCCGCTTCTCCCACACCTCCACCCCGCCTCTCACAACCCCCCCAACTCTCTCCCACGTGGCATTCGCCAATTGGCTCCCGAACCCCACCAGTCTCCCCACCCACCCCCAACCCACCTTCTCCTTTTCCCTCTCCTGATCCTCCCCTTCCTCCTCCTCCCCTCCTTTCTCCCCCTCTTCCTCGTTCTCCTGCCCATCCTCCTCCTCCACTGGCTGCTCTATTAGGCTCTCTAGAGTTTTGAAATCCTCCGCGGAAAGCGGCGGCGCGGCGACCGCGGGAGTCGGATCCTCCGTCTCTTGCTCGGATTCGTCCCCCTGGTGAGGGTTACTGCGGCTTGTTGCGTCGTTCGCAGCAGCTGTGTGCGTGCGGTGCGGGGAACGTATGAGGGAAAGGAGCCGCTGCGCGCGGAATGGCCGTTGCGGGTCGAACCGTCGTTGCATTTCGAACTCGCCGGTAAGGAGGAGGGAGAAGGCGAGCAGGATCGCGAGAGCGACGAAGCGGAGAGGCGTGGACCGCATGATGCGACCCGGGACCCGCCGAATCCGGCGGAAGATTGAAGGGGTGTGTGGCTGGGCGGCGCGTGTCGGATGCGCCATAGCGGAGTGGAATCAGAGGTAGGCCATGGTGTCAGATGTGTCAGCCCAGTGTGTCAGATAATGGTACTGGGAAATACTGCGCAGTATTGAGATTGGAAAAGCAACTGATAAAGACAGCCTCGAGTGTACATTGTAACGATTTACGCTTGTAACTCGCGAGAAATATCTGATGGTTCTGCGGGCTGGGCTGGATGACAGGGGAGAAGACGGCGTGGCTGGCGCCCGTTGGCCTGTACAAATATCTTTACAACATGCGGAAAAAAAATTGAACCAACCAGGAATCAGAAATGAGAAGTGAACTGTTTCGTCTGACGGAATCCTGTATCTCGACCGTCTATTGCAACTGAATTGGTCATGCCACCTGGCATCTCTCCGACTTATCTCTCCCTTCCAGCGGGGACAGACGAAAGCCGACCAATCACCTCCATAAAGTTCTTGAAATCAGTTCGAGTCCAGGTTCGTTTTATGTAACCAGCCATAGGGAAAGTTATTTCTCGCCCATCTTCGCAAACGCACTCGACCAGTGCGCCAGCTCGTAGACCCTCGGGACGGGATTGTCACGAAAATGTCAGCCTCCGGCAGGCCTTGGGTGCCCCATTCCCTTAGGAAATCTCTCCACTCCGCTGGCCATTTTTCCCCCAAGCTTCTCCGCCATGAGTTCTTCCTGGCACACACCTTCCGATCTCCCCCTGCTCCATGCATCCCGCAATCCGCCCATCCCTTCCTCCGCCTCCCCTTCCGCGGCACTATGCTGTGACTCGGAAGTTTCAAATCGAACCTGCTCGAAGAAACCACCTTTGAAACTGGTAATCTTGCTTCAACTTCCACAGCTCATATAAAGCGCATTTTCCGCTAGTGCTGCTGTGCTTGTATCGAGAAATTCGGCAAGGCATATTGAGCCACGTCTTTCGTCGCTTCTTTAATACTCTTCACTCGTAACTACTAGAAGCGATCCACCATGGCGACTGCTATCCGTGCAGCCGTTTCCGCCGAGCTCGCCTCTGTTGCCACCAGCGCGGCGACGAGGGCACCGACCTCGCTTAGTAAGCTCCACCGCCCGTATTCGCTGTCAACGCGCAACCCGTTTATCAGTTCGCCTCGTCGTACGCGAATATTTCATCAACGGAAGCGTTTGGCATTGTTCTTGCACGGTCCTCTCCGTCCCTGGATTAGGGTTTCGCTCGCTTCGCTATACATACCCTATTACACATTTCCAGTCTGTGCTTCCACGTTGCACCAGCAACGAGGACGGCGACCTGCATCTTTCTCCTTCGCGCCCCCATCGTCCCGCATTCCGTTCCTCATCTTCCCCCTCCCCTTCCCCCTCCCCTTCCCCTTCTCCCCCCCTCTTATTCCCTTTCCACAACCTCCCACCCAACCATCATGTCGTCTGTCTGTCGACCAATCAGCATCCGCGTTTGTCGGCTCTTTCAAGCCTGCCTCGCTCTCCACCTTCTCCGCCGCTCCCCTTCGCGCCGCATCGGTCGCCAAGAGGCCAGTCGTCCGTGCCGCCGTCGCAACCGACAAACCCGCCACCGCGTGAGTATTCTACTCGCACTTCACATGCGGTCAGTCCAGCGGAAAGCCCGAGGCCCTGGTGCCATGCCAAGCTCCAACTTCGCTCCTCATGGTCCGAGGCCATTTTCCTGACTGAAGTTTTGTCATAAGTTCGCAATTTCCTCCACTCCTTTTCTCTCCTCCACTCCGCTCCTCGTACCCTTCACCTGTCACGTCATCAGGTATCAGAATCCCACGTGGGCGCGCTTCGAGCTCGGCTTGGCCCCTGTTTTCTGGGAAACCGCCACTGGCCTTCCCCCTGCCTCCGTACGTCCATCGTCTCTTTCATCCGCCCTCTCAATGCTGCTGCCGTTTGTCTTTATCCTTGCCCGTTCCGGAGTCTGCCACGTGAGGCGACTCAGCAGTCCCCCGCATGTCCAAATCCTCACATTGTCCTGCCATTCCCTCACCCTTCGTCTTCCACTCCCCGTCCCCTTCTCCCTCCTCATCAGCCGTTCTGAGGCTTCCACCCTCACACCACACCATCTGAGACGACTCACAAGTCCCTCTATCCCCACGCTTCTCTCTTCCCTTTCCGCGCCTCTCCCCACGCGCATGTCTCCCGTGTCACACAGGGCGAGCTGATGACCATTTGGTTCAACCCCGAGGCATCCACCCTCACACCCAACCCTGAATTCGGCGTCGCTTTCAACGGTACGCCGCTGCTTCTCTCTTTGCCGCTGCTCGACACTCTCTCGCGCCCCTGCCCCGTTCGCGATACATTCCGGCTGTTCCCTGTCATGGCCCTGTTGCGCGCCACATCTATCAAGCCATGCGTCTTACTGTCCAACTTTCCGGTCTTTCCTCCCTCTCCCAGGCGGATTCAACAGCTCCATCATGTGCGGCAGCGAGGCGAGGAGTAAGAGCCGCAAGGAGCGCAGGCCGAGCTGTCTTTTGGATCGACTCAAAAGCCCACTGGTTCTCTTTGTCCTTTCCCCCTCCCCTTTACCTCCCAGGCGGCTTCAACAGCCCCATCATGTGCGGCGGGGAGGCGCGGCGGATGAGTCGGAAGGACCGCGGGCCGAGCTGTGCGCCGCTGTTCTCGATCAAGGTGAACGTGCCGCTGCACGCCAAGACCATCGAGTTCTCCATGACTGATGGCGAGGCCTGGGACGGGCCTTACGTCGTGGAGATGCAGATTCCTGCTGCCTTCCGCAACCAGCCCATGTCGTTCTTTAATGAGGTGAGGCCCATTCGGAGGTGAAGGTGCTGCTGCACGCCAAGACCATTGAGTTCTCCATGACCGACGGCGAGGCCTGGGATGGCCCGTATGTGGTGGAGATGCAGATTCCGGCCGCCTTCCGCAACCAGCCCATGTCATTCTTCAATGAGGTGAGGCATGGTTCGAGTCTCAATCGGGGGTAACCTTTGAGTATTCTCCAAAGGTGTGGGGTGGCCCGTACCCCGTGGAGATGCAGATCCCGGCCGCCTTCCGCAACCAGCCCATGTCATTCTTCAACGAGGCGAGGCTCAGGTGGACGGAAGCGCAGTCAGAGGCACAGGTGGAGGTACCTTTATGAAAATTCCCAAAGGCCTGGGATGGCCCGTACGTGGTGAGGAGCCGTCGGTTAGCATTGTCTGCTCAACCCACACCCATGTGCATACGCAGACACTCATACACTCACACACTGACGTTTCCCACACCCCCACCCGTCCCTCACTCCCCTGTCCCCACGCCAGGGTCTGAAGAAGACTCTGGAGGCCGAGGGAGCGTGTGATGACACCATCTTCCCCGACTCTCAATACGTGCCCGACCGATGCATCATGCCGGGCGGTATCGCCAAGGAAGAGGTAAGCTGGGCCTTCACATGTCTTCTGTGCGCTCCTTTTCTGCTGCTTCAAAAATGCCTTCATTACTGGCTTATTGGGTTCCTTGAATCGTATTTGACCTTTCATATGCTCATGACTCTTGCCCGTTTTTCCACCTTCAGGGCCAGTCGTGCCGGCTTGACCTTGTGCCAGGCTGCATGGATCCCAGCTCGCCATTCTTCGACCCGCTTGCCAATGTGGACGATGGCTCTTGCCCCATTGACGTGCCGCAAAAGTAGATGGGTTGGTCACATGGCATAGTGGTGAAGCAGAGGAGATGCAGGCTTTGGTTTGAGTTATAATTTTAGCAACAGGTTATGCAAGTGATATAGTGTTGTAGCATCAGCATGATGTCCATACCTGTGAATACATGCTAGAAGGCTACTGCTGATTGTTAGGGATTGGCTACTGAGCACGGTGGTATCAGGGCTCTCGCTAGGATTTGGGCCTGTCTGAGGTATATTGCTGCCATGGTTGAAGCAAATGCTCAAGAGCTTTGGAGGAACTGTCATAAGTATGTAAGGTTTTATGTACGCTGGTATTGAAGACGCATCCATATTTCGAACCAGACGTAAAACGGGCACCGATCAACCAAGAAGCATGAAGCGGAACTGGACAGTGAGCTTTGTGTATGCGAAACGTCTTGACATGCCTCCACGTCCCTCACTCCCTTCCCTTCGTCATTTTTGAACGCCTGGATCGTCGTTCGAAAATTTCTCAAATGTACATTGATGCGGCCTGATGCGGCCTGATGCGGCATGATGCGCCTGCAGGACAAGGCTGCTGAATTCCTCCGAATATATCTCAGCGGACAAGTGAGTCCCGGGGAGCTCGCTGCCCCGAACAACCTATTTTCAGTTCAGGGAGGTTAAATTTTATTGTAACTGGACGCCTACCTTCCTGAGGGTTGCCATGGTTCCCATCCCATCACTCCCGTCCCGTCAATCCGGCTCTTTTGCGAGATACCTCTACTGAATCCTTCGTCTGCTGTAGCTGAACGGAGTAACCGTGACTCTCAGATCATTCCTTCATGCCGTCAATCTGTCCCTGCCTATTCGTGAAGTAGCTTTATTATGACGCTGCGTTCGCCATTTCAACTTGTTTCCGATCTTCGTGTTATTCTAGTAGTAGGAACTTCAAACCGAAGACATGACCTGGCAGTTGAGTACATCCGTCAATTTATTTTCTACAGCACCCACCTCTCAGCACCGTCAACGATGATACTAAGAACGGCCGTTTTTGTTATTACGAGCACGCTTCAGAGGCTGCAGACGCCGTGATGGCACCGCGACGGCGATCCAAGTGGCCATAATCGGAGGCTGCAGACGCCGTAATGTCACCGCGACGTTTGCTGTACTCAAAGCTCCACTATTTGTGAAGGCGACGGCGTGCAAGGCGTCTGGGGAGACGACAATTGATTGAGCAGCATACCGGAAGACGTGCGCTGTTTACGTTACCTGATCAGCTGTTCACAATACTTAATCAGCTGTTCACATTACCTGATCAGCTGTTCACATGAGCTTCATGTCATGGTCTCGGCGGCGACCACCAAGTCTCATGTCGACTCGTCGTTCGAGCAGTATCTGGGCGTCTGCGTCACGACGCAGCGTCACGGCGTCACAGCGTGATGGCGTCACAGCGTGATGGCGCCGCAGCATCATGGCGTCGCAGCATCATGGCGTCGCAGCATCATGGCAGCATCATGGCTTCGATCATATGGCGTAGCGCGGTGGGCAGCGAGCATCGAGCAGCGAGCCGCGAGCGATGTCGACGAGCGACGAGCGACTTCGGCAGCCAAGTAAGACGACTACAGCTGGCAACGCGAGCTATGGCGACAGTGTCGAGCGACGACGAGCGACGCGCGACACGCGACGAAGTACGCAAGTCGCGGACGAGCGACAGCGACGGTCGACCCGCGAGGTTCATTGAAGGGCATTGGAATGATGTTCCAGTCCAACAGCATCAACCCCGCTGTCATCTGCTCATGGCAACCCTTGTCACTAAAGTTTGTTTTTTCTTCCTAATCACTCTCCTTCTGATCACTCACTTTTTCCGTTGGCAACCCACGTGTCATTAAAGTGGAGTGTTCACGAACGCATGGCAGAGTAGAGGCGCATGAGGCGGGCAGCCCATGGCAGGGCGGCAGGGGAGCTCATTCTAGAGTCTAGCGGGTTAGCTTGCATTCATCCCATGCCCGCGTCCCTCTCTAACCCAGTCCCCCCCTTGCCTTTGCTCAGCTCACTGCCGCATTGTCATGGGCTGCTCTCTGCCCTGCAGTTCCCGAATCCTCCCATCACTCGCTACCTCCATTATGCTCAGCTGCTTTGCCCTCGTACTCTTGAAGTTTCCTTTCATTGATTGCAGTTTTCTCTAGGTCAACTCCCTTCATTTGCATTTCATTTTCCTTCGTTTTCTTTCAATTTCCTTCTTTTTCTTTCAGTCTCCTTGTGCTTTCTTTTTCGTTCCATTGCCTTCGATTCCCTTCAGTTGCTTTCCTTCCATTCCGCGGTGCCCTCTTGTCCTTCAACTCTATTATCCCTTTCCTGTGTTCCAGGACAATGGAGAAATGCGGTTGACTATATCAGCAGTTTCAGAAGCAGCAGCAGCAGCAGCAGAAAACACCATCACCACCACCCCACCACGAATGCCAGTGTGTAACCAGCTTTCTACTCTTCAGTCTCTGCTCTGGTAAGTCACATGTTGACCAGTTTCTATGCACCACTGCTTCTGGCTTTTGTGTGACTGCTACCTCCTCGTTCTATTCCCTCCCTCCTGCTCCCCCTCATGTTCTCCCTCCTCTCTCACTCTCTCCTATAGTACTCGTACCCTCACCTGTTTTTCCCGGCCTTAATGTAGTGCCGTTTTGATCATTTCAACGGGGATGTAGCTCAGATGGTAGAGCGCTCGCTTAGCATGCGAGAGGTACGGGGATCGATACCCCGCATCTCCAGGGTTTGCGGGGATAGCTCAGTTGGGAGAGCGTCAGACTGAAGATCTGAAGGTCGCGTGTTCGATCCACGCTCACCGCATTCAGCTTTTGTGGCCCATTTTTCTCACTCCCCTCACAGTGACTTCTCCTTTTTGCACACTTCACCCACACAAGCTTGTGCTTCTTTCAGCTCGCTTCACTGACATACCCTTGTGCCTCTTTCAAGCTTCACCCACTGGCCCTTGTGCTGATTTTTGCTCACTTCACCCGCTCACCCTTGAGCATTTTCTTGCTTGCTTGACTCATGCTGCCCAACAAGTGTGCCTCCCTGCATGTGAGCAGCGCAAAGCAGTGGATTTTGCTGCTGCTTATTAAGCTGCCATGGCGTTGGTTCTGCCATGGCATTGGTGCTGCCATGGCATTGGTGCTGCCATGGCATTGTTGCTGCCGTGGCATTGGTGCTGCCATGGCATTGGTGCTGCCGTGGCATTGGTGCTGCCATGGCATTGGTGCTGCCATGGCATTGGTGCTGCCGTGGCATTGGTGCTGCCATGGCATTGGTGCTGCCATGGCATTGGTGCTGCCATGGCATTGGTGCTGCCATGGCATTGGTGCTGCCATGGCATTGGTGCTGCCATGGCATTGGTGCTGCCATGGCATTGGTGCTGCCATGGCATTGGTGCTGCCATGGCATTGGTGCTGCCATGGCATTGGTGCTGCCATGGCATTGGTGCTGCCATGGCATTGGTGCTGCCATGGCATTGGTGCTGCCATGGCATTGGTGCTGCCATGGCATTGGTGCTGCCATGGCATTGGTGCTGCCATGGCATTGGTGCTGCCATGGCATTGGTGCTGCCATGGCATTGGTGCTGCCATGGCATTGGTGCTGCCATGGCATTGGTGCTGCCATGGCATTGGTGCTGCCATGGCATTGGTGCTGCCATGGCATTGGTGCTGCCATGGCATTGGTGCTGCCATGGCATTGGTGCTGCCATGGCATTGGTGCTGCCATGGCATTGGTCCTGCCATGGCATTGGTGCTGCCATGGCATTGGTGCTGCCATGGCATTGGTGCTGCCATGGCATTGGTGCTGCCATGGCATTGGTGCTGCCATGGCATTGGTGCTGCCATGGCATTGGTGCTGCCATGGCATTGGTGCTGCCATGGCATTGGTGCTGCCATGGCATTGGTGCTGCCATGGCATTGGTGCTGCCATGGCATTGGTGCTGCCATGGCATTGGTGCTGCCATGGCATTGGTGCTGCCATGGCATTGGTGCTGCCATGGCATTGGTGCTGCCATGGCATTGGTGCTGCCATGGCATTGGTGCTGCCATGGCATTGGTGCTGCCATGGCATTGGTGCTGCCATGGCATTGGTGCTGCCATGGCATTGGTGCTGCCATGGCATTGGTGCTGCCATGGCATTGGTGCTGCCATGGCATTGGTGCTGCCATGGCATTGGTGCTGCCATGGCATTGGTGCTGCCATGGCATTGGTGCTGCCATGGCATTGGTGCTGCCATGGCATTGGTGCTGCCATGGCATTGGTGCTGCCATGGCATTGGTGCTGCCATGGCATTGGTGCTGCCATGGCATTGGTGCTGCCATGGCATTGGTGCTGCCATGGCATTGGTGCTGCCATGGCATTGGTGCTGCCATGGCATTGGTGCTGCCATGGCATTGGTGCTGCCATGGCATTGGTGCTGCCATGGCATTGGTGCTGCCATGGCATTGGTGCTGCCATGGCATTGGTGCTGCCATGGCATTGGTGCTGCCATGGCATTGGTGCTGCCATGGCATTGGTGCTGCCATGGCATTGGTGCTGCCATGGCATTGGTGCTGCCATGGCATTGGTGCTGCCATGGCATTGGTGCTGCCATGGCATTGGTGCTGCCATGGCATTGGTGCTGCCATGGCATTGGTGCTGCCATGGCATTGGTGCTGCCATGGCATTGGTGCTGCCATGGCATTGGTGCTGCCATGGCATTGGTGCTGCCATGGCATTGGTGCTGCCATGGCATTGGTGCTGCCATGGCATTGGTGCTGCCATGGCATTGGTGCTGCCATGGCATTGGTGCTGCCATGGCATTGGTGCTGCCATGGCATTGGTGCTGCCATGGCATTGGTGCTGCCATGGCATTGGTGCTGCCATGGCATTGGTGCTGCCATGGCATTGGTGCTGCCATGGCATTGGTGCTGCCATGGCATTGGTGCTGCCATGGCATTGGTGCTGCCATGGCATTGGTGCTGCCATGGCATTGGTGCTGCCATGGCATTGGTGCTGCCATGGCATTGGTGCTGCCATGGCATTGGTGCTGCCATGGCATTGGTGCTGCCATGGCATTGGTGCTGCCATGGCATTGGTGCTGCCATGGCATTGGTGCTGCCATGGCATTGGTGCTGCCATGGCATTGGTGCTGCCATGGCATTGGTGTTGCCATGCATTGGTGCTGCCATGGCATTGGTGCTGCCATGACTGTTATGCCTTGCCTACTAGGCTAAATTGGATGGGCAGGGGTCAATAAGCGCTACCAGTTTAAACAACACACACACAGTACACATCCATGTGCACAATATGCACTTGTATGTATGCTGGCCAGCCTGCATGGCCTGCATGGCCTGCATGGCCTGCATGGCCTGCATGGCCTGCATGGACTGCATGGCCTGCATGGCCTGCATGGACTGCATGGCCTGCATGGCCTGCGATGGTGTATGTGGGGAGTCGAGACTGATACCTGCACATGGGAGTTGGTGCACTCGGCCAGATTCCTATGTGATTTCATGAGAATGGTGAGGTGAGCTGATGAGAAGGGCCGTTTCATGATAAGGGTGAGTTCATGAAAAAGGGCGATTTCATGATAAGGGCGCGTGTGGTCTTTGAAATTTGTAAAAGTTTATGTTTTAAGGGCGAATTTTATTTTTGAACTTACAACGAAAGAAGTTCGAATTTCCTTCTATCGAAGTTCGAACATCGGGCTTACCACACTGTAAAAAATCACACACACATACAAGTTCGAACCCCGACATTCGAACTTGTAAAAACGAGCCGAGCCGCACGTCAACATCATAGGTTACCCGGTTCGCTCGTCTTGACAGTGCGCCACGTCAACATTTTGCGCCTCGGTTTACAAGGACCTAGAGCTCCAACCCACCTTCCGCGCCGAGTTTGTAACCAGGGTACAAATAGCCCCCGTGGCAACACCAAGGGCGGGAGTTTCTTTGACTGACGTCAAGACGGGCGGGACGCGTTGCCACATCGTGCTCGAACGTGCCACGATGCTGGACACGTGGTTACCACTGTGTGCACGAATTGTGGGGTGTCTTCGTTGTGCAACTTCATGCACTGGCGAAGCGCTCGCCCGTTTCGCCAGCTGTTTGGACGTGCTGCAAATCACACACGCTCGCATGAACGTGCGCACGCACGTTCCCGCCTCCGACTGGAGTCAAGTTCATATTTCAAACTCGAACTTTTGCAGAGCCCATACAATGCTTGGTTCGCGAAGCACCCTTCGCGAAATCAGCGAATAGGGTAACCACCCAAAGTTCGAACTTTATTTTGAACTTCTAAACAGACCACACGCGCCCTAAGGGTGAGATCATGAAAAAGGGCGATTTCATGTTAAGGGTGAGTTCATGAGATAGCAGTGAGGTGAAATGATCAGTCGCTATCACCCTCTGGCTGTCTGAGAGAAGTATCAACCACCGCTGAGCATCAATCACCCCTTCCTCACACCCTCCTTCCTGTTCATCACCTTGTGCACATTCTGGCTCCCATCACACATGTTCGGACAGGAGCACAGGGCATGTGTGAGCAGAGGGCATGTGTGAGCAGAGGGCATGTGTGAGCAGAGGGCATGTGTGAGCAGAGGGCATGTGTGAGCACAAGGCATGTGTGAGCACAAGGCATGTATGAGCACAAGGCATGTGTGAGGATGCAGCAGCACTAACGTTCGTTCTCTCGTCTGTCGCACATCCCTCTGTGCATGTGCAGGTAGGCAATTTTCAAATTTCAGACGGTTGCACGGCCCATAGGGGCACTGTAGGCGATCAGCAGTACATCTTGATTCTGCGTTCCTGATTCGAGATACCAGTACGTGATGTGACACTACAAATTATGCCCAGTTTGTGGTGTGGTGCTTACGGTGTGCTCTCTTGCTGTCCTGTGCTGTGCAGGCCCTAAAGTTGCATCAAGTCTATGCGGCAATGAGAATGACTTATGCCATGTTGACGTTTAGCAGCATGTTTGAGCACACTGTTCAATCTTTTCTAGCAATAATCTGGTAGCACAGCGCGTGCATTACCAACGTTGACATGACAGTTCAGGGCATCGTTCCTAGGTCACTTGAAGATTGTGCGATCAGTGTGGTTATTCTGCAACCACAGTGAGTGCCAGGCCACCAAGACATGCCATTGTTGCATTTAATTTCCAGTGTGTGCAGTAAGCAACATCCATCCTCATTCTACGAGTCAACACAAAGCCTCGGCTCAGCAACTGTCACTTCAGCTGTCTATGTGGCTCTGTTTGTGCGCTTCTTTCTAAATTCTGTCTGTATGGTTTCGTCTCTGGTTCTGTCTGTATGGTTTCGTCTCTGGTTCTGTCTGTATGGTTTCGTCTCTGGTTCTGTCTGTATGGTTTCGTCTCTGGTTCTGTCTGTATGGTTTCGTCTCTGGTTCTGTCTGTATGGTTTCGTCTCTGGTTCTGTCTGTATGGTTTCGTCTCTGGTTCTGTCTGTATGGTTTCGTCTCTGGTTCTGTCTGTATGGTTTCGTCTCTGGTTCTGTCTGTATGGTTTCGTCTCTGGTTCTGTCTGTATGGTTTCGTCTCTGGTTCTGTCTGTATGGTTTCGTCTCTGGTTCTGTCTGTATGGTTTCGTCTCTGGTTCTGTCTGTATGGTTTCGTCTCTGGTTCTGTCTGTATGGTTTCGTCTCTGGTTCTGTCTGTATGGTTTCGTCTCTGGTTCTGTCTGTGTGCTTCTGTCTCTGGTTTGTCTGTGTGCTTCTGTCTCTGGTTTTGTCTGTCTGCTTCTGTCTCTGGTTCTGTCTGTGTGCTTCCGTTTCTGGTTCGGTCTGTCTGCTTATGTCTCTGGTTCTGATCAAGTTTTTTCATCTGTCACACCAGGAAATGCACATCATACGGTGAGCCAGTTGATTTTAATTATTTTTTATGCTAGTCCATTCCATTGATTGTCCACAAATGCCTGTAATGAAGCAACACCTATTGCAGTATACCATTATCCTGCTAATTATCCATTCAAGTTCCTAATCATGATCCGAAACAATTATTAATAGTTGTACTATTGTACTACCCATACACTGTAGGTATGCATGGGGGGTTCCTCTTGGCCGCCAGGAGCAAGCTCCCAACGTTACACCCAAGCACCGCGGTGAGGTGGGGACCATCGCTTGGGGCCCTGTTGGGGGGGAGACAGAACACAAAAGGACACTGGATACTGCCCAGGGGCAGGTTAAAATTAATATGTGACTCTGTTTGGGAGGGGAGATAGAACACAAACGGATACTGGATACTGCCCAGGGCAGGTGAAAATTATTATGAGACCCTGTTTGGGGGGGAGAGAGAACACAAAAGGATAGGCAGGTGGAAATTAATATGTGACCCTGTTGGGGGGGGAGAGTGAACACAGAGCAAAGTGCAGTGAGGAGGGAGAGCTTTGAGAGTGAGTTTCGAGACGTCTCTCGAAACTCACAAGAGAGAACAGAACTGCCACCAGCAGTCCAAATCTGTTACGAATAGCAATGAATGAAGATTACAGTGCACTCCCGACCACAGCTAAAGAAGCATGCAGCATCGAGAACGAATGTGAAGAGTCAGAATTGACTCGAAACGTCAGACAGTTGAGATGCATCTGGACCGTCTGAGCAGATGGCATCGGGCAGCTGCAGGCAGAAGGATTCTGGCAGGAACAGTTTCGTAACTGTACGCACCGCACGGTTGGGAATGCATTTGAATAAGGGAATGTACCCCTTAGAGTACATGGTTAGCTAGGTCGATTTGTATTCCTCTGTACTCTTATTTGTATCGTTGTAGTTGCATGTTTTTATTATCTCAAGCATTTTACATTCACTCTGCTATTGAGGTCAAGGGCCCACCACCACTAGACCAGAAGTGTGCGAACCTTCGTGAGGTGATCCTGGTTACGATCTATTTCTGATCGCAGCAAAATCTAATAAAGCCATCGCAGCGCGACGTTCGAATTTACTAAAGCCGTCGCAGGGAAGTCTCAAAGTGATTGATCACTATCAAGATTGAAACAGGGGAGTACAGATTGATCACTATCAGGTTCCATTTACTAATATATTTAGCTGTCTATGTGGCTCTGCTAATGTACCTTTTGTCTCTGGTTCTGTCTCTGTGCTTCTGTCTGGTTCTGTTCAAGTGGTTCTAACTGTCAGACAAGCAAATACACATCATCTGGTGCATCAATTGACTACATATATAACATGCTAGCTAGTCCATTGGATTAATTGTCTACATATGCCTGAAGCTACAACTACTGCAGTATTAGTTTCAAATTCTAGTAATTATCCATTCAAAGTTCCTAATGATGATCCAATATAAATATTAATTGAATGTACTATTGTACTACCCATACACTGTAGGTGTGCATGGGGGGTTCCTCTTGGCCGCCAGGAGCAAGCTCCCAACGTTACACCCAAGCACCGCGGTGAGGTGGGAACCATCGCTTGGGACCCTGTTGGGGGGGGAGACAGAACACACAAGGAAACTGGATACTGCCCAGGGGCAGGTGAAAATTAATATGTGACTGTTGGGGGGGGAGACAGAACACAAACGGATACTGGATAGTGCCCAGGGGCAGGTGAAAATTATTTTGAGACCCTGTTGGGGGGGGAGACAGAACACAAAAGGATAGGCAGGTGGAAATTAATATGTGACCCTGTTGGGGGGGAGACAGAACACAAAAGGATAGGCAGGTGGAAATTAATATGTGACCCTGTTGGGGGGGGAGACAGAACACAAAAGGATAGGCAGGTAAAAAATAATATGTGACCCTGTTGGGGGGGGAGAGAGAACACAGAGCAAACTGCAGTGAGGAGAGAGAGTTTTGAGTTGAGAGTGAGTTTCGAGACGTCTCTCGAAACTCACAAGAGAGAACAGAACTGCCACCGGCAGTTCACAACTGGATTTGAGGCGCCTCAAACCAGCAAACGAGGTCCTACTCTGCTTCCCTGCAACCTGTGTTCCCTGCAACCTGCTTCACCCCCTGTTCTGCTTCGCTGCAACCTGTGTTCCCTGCAACCTGCTTCACCCCCTGTTCTGCTTCGCTGCAACCTGTGTTCCCTGCAACCTGCTTCACCCCCTGTTCTGCTTCGCTGCAACCTGTGTTCCCTGTAACCTGCTTCACCCCCTGTTCTGCTTCGCTGCAACCTGTGTTCCCTGCAACCTGCTTCACCCCCTGTTCTGCTTCGCTGCAACCTGTGTTCCCTGCAACCTGCTTCACCCCCTGTTCTGCTTCGCTGCAACCTGTGTTCCCTGCAACCTGCTTCACCCCCTGTTCTGCTTCGCTGCAACCTGTGTTCCCTGCAACCTGCTTCACCCCCTGCTCTGCTTCGCTGCAACCTGTGCTCCCTGCAACCTGCTTCACCCCCTGTTCTGCTTCGCTGCAACCTGTGTTCCCTGCAATCTGCTTCACCCCCTGTTCTGCTTCGCTGCAACCTGTGTTCCCTGCAATCTGCTTCACCCCCTGTTCTTCTTCCCTGCAACCTGTGTTCCCTGCAACCTGCTTCACCCCCTGTTCTGCTTCGCTGCAACCTGTGTTCCCTGCAATCTGCTTCACCCCCTACTCTGCTTCGCTGCAACCTGTGTTCCCTGCAATCTGCTTCACCCCCTACTCTGCTTCGCTGCAACCTGTGTTCCCTGCAATCTGCTTCACCAGCAAACGAGGTCCTCTGGAGTAGCACACGGGGAGGGTGGCCAGTCGTCTTTACTGCTTCTCTTCTGCTGACACCGCTGGTGCCACTGCTTATATTCCCTTCTGCTGCCTCTGCGGGCCTCTTTTCTGCTCCCACTGCTGCTGCCACTGCTGCTGCCACCGCTGGTGCCACTGCTGGCCTTCTCTGGTGCTCGCCGTCCAGAAGCACCAGAAGCAGCACGCGGGAGGGAGGTAGGAGTGAGCCAGGTAGGCGCGAGGGAGGTAGCAGCTTCTTCATCCCCTTCACAGAAGCTTCATCCCCTTCACAGCTGCTTCATCCCCTTCACAGCTGCTTCATCCCCTTCACAGCTGCTTTATCCCCTTCACAGCTGCTTTATCCCCTTCACAGCTGCTTCATCCCCTTCACAGCTGCTTCATCTCCTTCACAGCAGCTTCATCCCCTTCACAGCAGCTTCATCCCCTTCACAGCAGCTTCATCCCCTTCACAGCTGCTTCATCCCCAGCTTCATCCCCTTCACAGCTGCTTCATCCCCTTCACAGCTGCCTCATCCCCTTCACAGCTGCTTTATCCCCTTCACAGCTGCTTCATCCCCTTCACAGCAGCTTCATCCCCTTCACAGCTGCTTCATCCCCTTCACAGCTGCTTTATCCCCTTCACAGCTGCTTTATCCCCTTCACAGCAGCTTCATCCCCTTCACAGCTGCTTCATCCCCTTCACAGCAGCTTCATCCCCTTCACAGCTGCTTCATCCCCTTCACAGCTGCTTCATCCCCTTCACAGCTGCTTCATCCCCTGCTTCATCCCCTTCACAGCAGCTTCATCCCCTTCACAGCTGCTTCATCCCCTGCTTCATCCCCTTCACAGCTGCTTCATCCCCTTCACAGCTGCTTTATCCCCTTCACAGCTGCTTTATCCCCTTCACAGCTGCTTCATCCCCTTCACAGCTGCTTCATCCCCTTCACAGCAGCTTCATCCCCTTCACAGCTGCTTCATCCCCTTCACAGCTGCTTCATCCCCTTCACAGCTGCTTCATCCCCTTCACAGCTGCTTCATCCCCTTCACAGCTGCTTCATCCCCTTCACAGCTGCTTCATCCCCTTCACAGCTGCTTCATTCCCTTCACAGCTGCTTCATCCCCTGCTTCATCCCCTTCACAGCAGCTTCATCCCCTTCACAGCTGCTTCATCCCCTTCACAGCTGCTTCATCCCCTTCACAGCTGCTTCATCCCCTTCACAGCTGCCTCATCCCCTTCACAGCTGCTTCATGCCCTTCACAGCTGCTTCATCCCCGTCACAGCTGCTTCATCCCCTTCACAGCTGCTTCATCCCCTGCACAGCTCCTTGGCAGAAAAAGCTAGCTAAAGGAAGGTACAGCTCGCTGGCCCGCTCATGGCATTCCACCCGTCCCCTCTGCTCGCCTGTACCACTCGTCTCCTCTGCTCGCCTGTACCACCCGTCTCCACTGCTAATCCGTCTCGTCTGCTGCTCCCTCGCCTCTGCGTCCTTCTGTGGAATGGGAGGAGAATAAATCAGGGCAGATGAGTGCAAGGCACTGACCGCACCCAATGCCTTGAAAGAAAGAACTCAGAGCAAATGCAAAAGCAAGGCAACGACATTCAAACAAACAAAACAACTCAAGTGAAAAAGAGAATCACCATCGGCAGTCAATAGTTATCCACCAGCGTGCTCCTTTGCTCTTTGCTCTTCAATGCAGCACCACTCCCTCTCCAGTGCAGCACCACTCCCCCTCCACTGCTGCTGCCACTGCTGGTGTCACTGCTGGTGTCACTGCTGGTGTCACTGCTGGCCTTCTCTTTCTGCTTGCACTGTTGCTGCCACCGGTAGTGTCACCGCATGCCTCTCCCCTACTCCCAATGCTGGTGTCACTGCAACTGCCACCTCCAATGCAGACGCAGCAGCACCACCTCGCAACGCAGCAGCAGCACCAATCCCCTTCCAGCAGCAGCGCCACTCCACCACTTCACAGCACCAGCAGCAGCACATGCGAGGGAGGTAGGACCGAGGCAGCACAAGGCAGTTAAAGGTAGGTAGAGCTTGCACCTTGCTGCTGCCAACTCTCGTCCCTTCTCTGCTCCTCTGCTCTATTCACCTACTCATCACCTCTCCGGCAGTGGCCTTCTCTTCTGCACACGGGAGGGAGGCAGCATCATTTTCTCCCTCTGCTGCTCCTCTGCTCCTCTGCAGTAGCACACGGGAAGGGTGGCCTTCTCTTCTGCTGACACTGCTGCTGCCACTGCTGCTACCACTGCTTGCATTCCCTTCTGCTGCCTTGGCTGCTGAAACCAGTATGTCACTGCGGGCCTCTCTTCTGCTCGCTGTCCCATCACTTCACAGCACCTTCAGCAGCACGTGGGAGGGAGGTAGGAGCGAGGGAGGTAGCAGCTGCCATCCCATCACTTCACAGCACCAGCAGCAGCACGCGGGAGGGAGGTAGGAGCGAGGAAGGTAGCAGCTGCCGTCCCATCACTTCACAGCACCAGCAGAAGCACGCGGGAGGGAGGCAGTAACAACTCGCAGCTTGCTCCTCCGTGATTGTATGCCTTCTCCCCTCTGTGCCTTCTCCCCTCAGCGTTGGGGGGAAGCGCAGCTGTGTGGTTCTCTGCTCCGCTGCTCCTTTGGCCTTCTTCCCTCCATGCCTTCTCTCCTCCGTGCCCTCAGCTCCATGTCTATCCAATGCTGCATCTTTGTTCCTCTTCTCCATCTCCTTTGCCTCTCTTTCCTCTCCTCCGCTGCTCCTCGCCTCCTCTCCTCCTCGCCTCCTCGCCTCCGTCTCCTCCGATGCATCTCCTGCGGAATGGGAAGGAAGGGAAGGAAGGACCAAGAAATCGAAGGCAGGAAAGAAGATGACCGGCAATTCTCACAGTGGCAATTCTCAATTTTCATACAAGCAATGCAACGTTACCCAAGAGAATTGCACAGATTGGGCAACAAAAATGCAGAACAAAAAAAGTACAGAGGGGCTCACCATTAGTTTCCATTCACCACCACGCTCTGCTGCTCCTCTCCTCCTCTGCGCCCCTGCTCCACGCCTCCTCTCCTCCACGCCCCCTCTCCTCCACGCCTCCTCTCCTCCACGCCCCCTCTCCTCCGCGCCTCCTCTCCTCAACGCCCCCTGTCCTCCGCGCCTCTGAAACGGAAAGCAACAACGACATTAGTACATGTGGAAAACAGAAAGCAGAAACTTGGAGAGCACTTACCGAGGGGGCTGGAGGCGTCGTGAAGTCTTGCGGCTGTCTGAAACGGGAAGCAACAACGACATTAGTACATGTGGAAAACAGAAAGCAGAAACTTGGAGAGCACTTACCGAGGGGGCTGGAGGCGTCGTGAAGTCTCGCGGCTGTCTGAAACGGGAAGCAACAACGACATCAGTACATGTGGAAAACAGAAAGCAGAAACTTGGAGAGCACTTACCGAGGGGGCTGGAGGCGTCGTGAAGTCTCGCGGCTGTCTGAAACGGGAAGCAACAACGACATTAGTACATGTGGAAAACAGAAAGCAGAAACTTGGAGAGCACTTACCGAGGGGGCTGGAGGCGTCGTGAAGTCTCGCGGCTGTCTGAAACGGGAAGCAACAACGACATTAGTACATGTGGAAAACAGAAAGCAGAAACTTGGAGAGCACTTACCGAGGGGGCTGGAGGCGTCGTGAAGTCTCGCGGCTGTCTGAAACGGGAAGCAACAACGACATCAGTACATGTGGAAAACAGAAAGCAGAAACTTGGAGAGCACTTACCGAGGGGGCTGGAGGCGTCGTGTTGTCTCACGGCTGTCTGAAACGGGAAGCAACAACGACATTAGTACATGTGGAAAACAGAAAGCAGAGATGGAAGATAGCTCACCGAGGGGGATAGAGCGTTGTTGATGTCTTGGTGACGGTTAAGACAAGACACACACATAACAACATTAGGCATGCGACGACACAAGGAAGCAAAGAAGACAGCAGCTTACAATGGGTCCTAGCTGCTGCGTCCCCGTGTTGCTCCTGCCTTGGTGTTGCCTCCCCCGTTCTTGCTGTACCTAGACGAGGGGCGGCACAAATTTAATCCTAAGCTGCTGCATCCCCGTGTTGCTCCCGCCTTGGTGTTCCCCCTTGATGCTTGCTGTACCTAGAAGAGGGGCGGCAATGAAAATATATTTTGAAGGCGCCTCACTTGAAGGCGCCGCTCCACCTCCCGCTGCTCCTCTTGTGTTGATCCTTTGCCCCCCAGGGGGTCAAAGCGCCTCACTTGAAGGCGCCGCTCCACCTCTCGCTGCTCCTCTTGTGTTGATCCTTTGCCCCCCAGGGGGTCAAAGCGCCTCACTTGAAGGCGCCGCTCCACCTCCCGCTGCTCCTCGTGTGTTGATCCTTTGCCCCCCATGGGGCAAAGCGCCTCACTTGAAGCTCCACCTCCTCAAATCCACTGCTACCCGTCCTTGCTGCCGCGGTCTTCTGCCCAGTCTTGCTTCACGACCAGCTGTGCAATTTTGCTCACTGCAACGCTTGCAGTGAGGAACATGCAAAAGAGTTTTGAAACATGTTTTTTATCACTTCAGGTAAGCTGCAGTGAGAAGGAAGAGAGAGAAATAGTGAGTGAGTTTCGAGAACACTGCAGTGCACTGCAGGACACAACAAAACTGGATTTGAGGCGCCTCAAACCAGCAAACGAGGTCCTCACACCTCACATTCACTCTGACTCACTCTCACTCTCACCCTCACTCTCACTCTCACCCTCGCTCTCCCCTCATTCTCCTCTCACTCTGCTCTCTTCTCACTCTCCTCTCACTCTCGCTCTCCTCACGTCCCCCTCTATGCTCCTCCCAGCAGGTCCCAGCCGTCTCCTTCCGCTGATGCTGCTGCTACTGCTGCTCCCCGCTGCTGCTGCTGCCACCGCTGCTGCTGCAGCCACCGCTGCTGCTACAGCCACCGCTGCTGCTGCAGCCACCGCTGCTGCTGCTGCCACCGCGGCTGCTGCTGCCACCGCTGGTGTCACTGCGGGCATCTCTTCTGCTCCCACCGCTGCTGCCACCGCTGGTGTCACTGCTGGTCTTCTCTTCTGCTGCCAGCCACTGCTGCTGTCAGCTGTAGTGTCATTGCGGACCTCTCTCCTTCTCCCACCGCTGCTGCCACCGCTGGTGTCACTGCTGATCTTCTCTTCTGCTGCCAGCCACTGCTGCTGTCAGCTGTAGTGTCATTGCGGACCTCTCTCCTTCTCCCACCGCTGCTTCCACCGCTGGTGTCACTGCTGGTCTTCTCTTCTGCTGCCAACCACTGCTGCTGTCAGCTGTACTGTCATTGCGAACCTCTCTCCTTCTCCCACCGCTGCTGCCACCGCTGGTGTCACTGCTGGTCTTTTCTTCTGCTGCCAACCACTGCTGCTGTCAGCTGTACTGTCATTGCGAACCTCTCTCCTTCTTCCACCGCTGCTGCCACAGCTGGTGTCGCTGCTGCGCTAACAAAGTAGAAGCTCGCAGCTTGATCGTCATCCCATCACTTCACAGCACGCGGGAGGTAGAAGCTCGCAGCTTGCTCCTGCTCACTTCTCCCCTCCGTGCCTTCTCTCCTCCATGCAGCCAGCAGCATTGAGGGGAAGCGCAGCTATGCTGTTCTCTGCCCCTCTGCTCCTCTGCTCCTCTTCTCCGCTGTTCCACTCCGCTGCTCTCCTCCCCTCCACCAACTCCTTTGCTCCTCTCCTCCCTTCACTGCTGCCACTGCTTTTCTCTCCTCATGCTGCCACTGCCACAGCTGCCGATGCTTCTCTTGTCGCTGCCGATGCTTCTCTTTTCGCTGCTGCTCCACGCTTAAACGTTCCATGTCCCTGCACAGCGATGAGAGAGTTGCAATCCCACAAGGAAGGTCAATCAGAGTGGAGGAAAGGAGTCGACAGAAGAGGAATGCAAGCAGGAAAAAACGACAGGAGAAAACGGCGAAGAACACGAAAGCCATGAAACGAAGGTAGAGGAAACACGAATGAGGAGGGAGAAGGGTGGGGGAGGAGAATGCTCTGCTTGCTTACTTGCTGCCCCAGTTGCTCCTGCTCCAGTTGCCTCCAACGCAGCTGCACCTCTCCGCCTCCAACGCTGCTGCTCCGTCTTTCCACCCACTCCTTAACTTTCCCTGCTCTGCAACCAGAGAGTTGCAAAATGCCACAGGGGAGGTAAATCAGAGTAGAAGTTACCATTTGAAAGAGAAAATTGGCAGAGTGAAGAGGAACGAATGCTGTCGGAGTACTCCCCTATCCTTACCATCACTGTGTGATTACCTACTCTGCTCTCACCCCATCCTCCTCTTATCCCTTTTCCTTGCGTCCGTGATTACCCTTGCTCAGTCCTCTCCTGCCTCAGCCACTCCCAAGAGAAGTCCTGCCTCCTCCACAATGGCTACCCCGTGTGGCCTTGTCACCTAGCAGCAGTAGCTTAGAACGGCAACTTGTATCCACTATAACAGGTAGACAAACGAGAGAACAAGGTTGGCTCTGCTAGGCTAGACTACTAGTACTCGCTTTCCCTGTCGCGAATTATTCCGGGGATGGGCTTGCACTGGCGTCGCCTGGGCTCTGGTTGGCCCTCGCCGATTTCCTGTCTCCCTAGGCCTCGAATTCTCCCAACATGCGCTTCGCAATCTTCTGAGTCACCAACTTCGCGTGATTCCCCAAGTCTTCAACTACCACTCCAATACCCTGCATACCAACTTGTACACCACCTACACCCCACATAGCTCTGAACGAAATATGCTGCAAGTTACCAATATGTTTCGTGACAGCTGTCGGAGTACTCCCCTATCCTTACCATCACTGTGTGATTACCTACTCTGCTCTCACCCCATCCTCCTCTTATCCCTTTTCCTTGCGTCCGTGATTACCCTTGCTCAGTCCTCTCCTGCCTCAGCCACTCCCTGCCCCCTCCTGTGCCCGTGCGCGGGCTGCCCGTGCACGTGTCACAGGACCCTCTTGCTGAGGTCTCTGCCCTTTCACCACAGCTGCGTTCGTCTGGTGATCAACTGTCCTTTCCCCCCTTTCGTTCTCCAGGACCAACACCCCCGAACCCCTGATCTCCTTCACCTTCCACCGCTCAGTTCCTAATCCCACATCCAGTGTATCCTTCCTGGCCCTTCGCAGGTACACCTCCTGGCCCTCTGCTGCTGCTGCTTTACTCTTTCGGCCTCCCTGCTGTTGCCTCTGTTCATATCTGCGTGCGTCCCTGAGCTGCGCTGTGTGCAGGTTTTCCAAGGCCGCCGGCAGCATCTCCCTCATGTACCTCGCCCTGGCTTCTGCCAATGCCACCCACTTTTCTGCTCCCTCCACTGATACAGTATCAGTCAGCACCCGTGGAGCTCCCACTGGAAGAATTGGTTCTCTTCCAAACAACAGGCTGTATGGCGAATGATCCTTCAATGACGCCTGCTTCCCGAATCGGTATCCGGCTGCAATCCAGTGCAGCTCCTCGTCCCAGTTCCTCTTCCGCTGTTCCCCGTATGCCCTTAGGTTGCGCTTTAGGGTCTGCACCAATCGTTCTGTCAAACCATCGCTCTGAGGGTGGTACCTTGACGTTACTCGGTGAGTGATCCCTGTCTCGTCTAGCAGCGCCTGAAACTCTCCCCTAAACTCGGTTCCCTGATCGGTTAACACCTCTCCCGGCGCCCCAAACCTGCACAACACCTGCTCCTTAAAAGCCTTGGCCACATGCCTGGAGTCTTTGCTTGGTATGGCCCACACCTCAAGCCACTTGCTAGCGTGCTCTACCATGAGCAGGATGTACCGTTGCCCTCTCCTGCTCAGCGGCAATTCTCCTGCCAGGTCTAACGACCACCTAAACCCCAGCCCTCTAATCGGCAGCGACTGTAGCTCCTGTTTTGCTTGCATTAGACTCGCCTTGCTTCGCTGGCATCCCGCGCATCCGCTTACCCACTCCTTCACCTGCTTTCGCATCCCATCCCACCACCATCCTGTCTTCAGCAGTTGCATCGTACGCTCGTGACCGAAGTGTCCTAACCTTTTGTGCACCTCCTCAATTACCCCCTCCCTCTCCCCAGGTGCTGGCACCCATTTCCAGCCGTCTTCTGACTGTAGTTGCAGCTGCCCCTGGTACCACCGATAGTGGTTTCCCCGTGCCCTCGCCCGTTCGGGCACCTGCTCATCCCCCTCTGTTTCTCCCTTAATCCACCTCAGCGCCTCAGCGTCTTCCCATATTTCCCGTGGTCCCTGCTGCTTCCCTGCCGCCTTTTTTTCCCCTTGCCTAGCCAGCATCATCAGCACCTGTACCGGCTCTGGTGGTGGTGGGTTCCTTGAGAGCCCGTCAACATGCTGTAGTGTCTTCCCCGGCCTGTGCCGTATCTTGAAATCGTATTCCTGCAGTGTGACTGCCCACCGCGCATTCCTCCCTGTCAGTCCTTGGTGGGTCATCAACCACTGCAGAGGCTGGTGGTCTGTTATGAGCGTAAATTCCCTCCCCTGCAAGTATACTCTGAAGTGTTTTACGGCCCACACGGCTGCTAGCCCTTCCCCATGGTATGAGCTGTACTTTGCTTCCGCGGGGTTGCAGCTCCTGCTCGCATATGCCACCACCCTTTCCTCCCCATCTATCTCCTGGCAGAGTATAGCGCCCATGCCCTGGCTGCTCCAGTCGGTATAGAGGCAGAAGGGCTTGTCCGCCTTTGGCAGCTGCAGTATTGTCGCCGTCTGCACCGCCTCCATCAGGTCCTTTAACGCTGCCACCTGGTCTGTCCCCCACTCCCACTTTCTGTCCTCCTTCAGCAGTCCGTTCAGCGCTGTCGCTCGTTTGCTGAAGTTCGGGACAAACCTGCGGTAGTAACTCAGAAATCCCAGCACTGCCCTTAGTCCGCTCCTGTCCTTCGGCTGCTGCAGCCTGTTCAGCACCTCAATCTTTGCCTGCTGAATCCCTATCTGCCCTCCCCTGACCTCGTACCCCAGGTACTGTACGGTTGCCTCTCCCCATCTGCATTTCTTCGGGTGGCAGGTCAGCCCTGCATCCGCCAACGCCTTCAGTGTCCGCTCCACATCCCTCACATGCTCTTCTTCGCTCTTGCTGAAGATTACTACGTCGTCTATGTAACACGCCGCACAGTCTAGTCCCCTCAAGACGCTATCCATCACTCTTTGAAAGATGGCTGACGCGTTCCGCAGCCCGAATGGCATGAACAGCCATTCATACAGCCCGTCTGCCCCATGAAACGCCGTCTTCCGCGCGTCCTCCTTCTTAATCCGAATCTGGTTGAACCCCTGCCTTAAATCTAGCGTGCTGAAAATCTCTCCTGCCCCCAGTCGGTCAAAAATATCTTCAGCCGTTGGCATGGGGTACCTGTCGGGCACTGTCACCTTGTTCAGTGCTCGGTAGTCCCCACACATCCGTCTGCTCAGCACTTCCCCTAGCAGATCCTTCCGTGCTGCTACAACTGTTGGTGTTGCGTACTCGGACTCTGATCGCTGTATCAGTCCCGCTTCTAACAGCTCCTTACATTTTTCCTTGCAAATGTCCTCGTCTGCTGGTGTCATTCTCCGCTTCCTCTGAAATACCGGCTCATCCGTGACCAGCTTCAGCTCCATCTCCTTTACTGAACACTTACCCAGCTCCTGTAGGGTAAACGCGAAGGCATGCCTGTACCTGGCCAGCACCTCCTGCATTGCCTCCTTTCCCTTCTCACTCATGGCATTCCCCACCACCCATGCTGGCTCTTCCTTGGCTGCCATGCACACCCATGCCCCCACCCTCTTCATCCCTCCTTCCTCAGTCTCCCGTTCCTGCTCCTCTCCCATGACCAACCCTCTCCACATTCGCCGCAGAAGCCACTGCATGACCTGACCGTCCATGGCCTGCCCCAGTGCTTTCCGTCGTTCCTGTTCTGTCACCCCTGCTGCATCGGTTATCCCTTCTCCATACCCCATCGCTAGTTCCCGTTCCAGCGCGGTAGGTTCCTCCCATCTCTTCGTCCTGTGATCATACACCATGCCTTCTCCTGGCAGCCCGTCCTCCTCCCTAAAACTGGCGGCCCCTTTGTATCCCACTAGTGTCGGCCATGCCCTGCGCTCTGCCCCCACTTTGTTGCATGGGCACTGCGTCTCATGTCTGCCCTTTCTGACAGGCGCCGCTGTCCTGCCCGGCTCTAGGATCTCCTGCACAGTCCTGCTCCAATCCCTCCGTATCCCGTCCAGCTCCTGCTGCAATTGCTCTCCCGTCACGACGTTCTGCCAGTAGCGTCTGACTCGGTGAGCTCGTGCCCCTAGCCTGGCTGCGTCACACCTTACTCCCTTCCCCAGCTTCCTTGTTACCAACTCTCGTACTTTCCTCACTGGTTCTCTGCAGTCCCCTTCCAGGTCCACATGCTCCAACAGGTACACCAGCTTCTCTTGTCTTTCCTTGATCCAGTCGATGATGCAGAGCAAGTTAACCAGTAGTGCTCCCCTTGGATCTCCTAATCCCCTTCCTTTCCCCGCTCTTGATACTGCTTGGCACTCCCACCCTGCTACCAGCAGGTCCACGTGCCCCCAGCCCCTCACCACTTCCCTTGTGATGTTCTTCACATCTGTCAGTGTCCCCTGCATTGCCTTGATTACCACTTCTTCGTCCAGCAGCTCAGGATACTCTCTCTGCATCTTCCTCGCATGGTGCTCGGCCATCTTCCTTACCTTCTCATTTTTTTCAACGTAGATCCACTCCTTCACGACTATCCCTGCCCTGAGCACCGCCGCCAACCCCGCTCCTATGCCCCCGAACAGTTCTACCAGTCTGATTGGTTCCTGCCACGCGTTGGTCTCTGCTGCCTTGCCCACCAATCCCGCTTTCCCTCTGTCTCCATTTCCCGCCTGTTCGGCCGTATACGCCCTTCTTGGCTCCTGCCTGATGAATTGTACAGGCAGCTCTCCCGTTCTGCTTCCCCGCTTCCAGTACTGCCTCCGAAACTTCACCTTTTCCTTCCATGTGCAGATGGTCATTCCCACGCCCCAGATCAGTTCCGTCCCCAGCAGTACATCGAAGTCTTCAGAGTCAGAGATCCCACACTGTAGTCGTATGCTGGTTTGCTCGTCCCTTCCCGGCATTAGCACCACCTCCACTGGAGTCTTTGTGCACGGCAACCACTTAGGTTCGCCTCCCTCCGCAGTCATAACCAGCATCCCCTGCTTTATGTGCTGCCCTTGTCCGGTCAGTCCCAGCTTCTGTGCTAGCCGCTTCCCCAGCATCACGCTCTGTGCCCCTGTATCTAGGATCGCAGTCTTTGCTATCTCCCCTCCCACAGTCACTGTCCCTGCTTCTGCCACCAGTACCGTTGCCTGGCTGGCTAGTCGGTCCTTGGGATGCCTGGCTGACTCCTCATCCTCTTTACTCTCTTCTTCCGTTTTCTGTTTTGTTCTTCCTCTCTCCTTCACTATGTGTTCCTTCCTCCCGTCTTTGCCCCCGCTCCTCAGACCCATCTCTTCTCGGCAGCGCATTGCTAAAAAGGTGTGTTCTGGCAACCGTTCTTCTTCCTCCCTTTCCTCCTCTTCCTCCTCTCTTGCATACAAGCCCGCTTCCTTCTCCTTCTTGCCTCCCATCGCCTGCAACCGTGCTTGCAGCTTCTCGATCTGGTTTGCTATGTCCTCTTGTGACCTTCTCGGTCCACCCGTCTTCTGATAGCAGTCTTTCTGCTGATGCCCCCTTTTTCCACACACTTCACAGATAGGCGCATCAGGGCACTCCCGCCGGCGGTGGCCTGGCTTGCCACATGTGTCACAGTTCTTGCAGTTCATCTTCACGTGCCCTGGCTGTCCACACCTGTAGCACGTCCTAGTATCTGTCCTCCTCTCCTGCCGCTGCTCCTCTCCGCTTCCTGCCCCTGGTATCATCGCTGCTGCCCAGGTGGGTCGTTTCTTCTCTACTGCTTTGGGCAGGTATGCCTCATAGCGCCTCTGTGCCAGCTCCACCTTTTCTGCCAGCTCGAATACTTCTTCCAGCGTTGCCTCCGCCCCTAACTCGTAGACCCTCATCCTCAGCCCTCCTGCTAACCCATCATCTAGCCCCGCCAGGAACTTGCTGATCAGCATACTGGTGTCCGTGCACACCACATCTTCGGCCAGGTTCATGAGTCGCCCATAGTATGTTAACAATGACTCGTCTTTCTTGCGTCTGAAGTCTTGAAACTCCCTGATCCGGTCCGCTGTATGCCCGGGAAACTGTTTGCGTAGCCGCGCCAGAAACAAGGCTGTCGGGTCATCTCCATCTTCCTCCGCCCTTCTCAGCCACTCTTGCATTTTCATGCGATACAAAGTCTCTGCTTCCCCTCCCAATGTGTTGGGCAGACTGAGGAAGAAGTCGATGGGGTCCATCCCCCCACGATCACACCGATACTTGACATTCCCAATCTGCATCAGATAATTCTTCAGGTTAGTGCCCGTCCCTTCATTTCCCGTGAAGCGCACTGGCACCTCCACCCTAGGCGGCGCCTGCGTGCCCCATCTCCCTATGTCCCAGGTCCCTGTCACTCCACGCTCCATATGGCTACCTTCTCTTCTGCGCTCCCTCATTCCTCCGCTGCCTGCGCTAGCCCCGTACAACACCCTCTCTATTCCCTCCCTTGCGGCTCTAGCCCCACTGGATCCCTCTCCTGTCTGCCATGGCCTCCTTGAGCTCCTTGGACTCGGACTCCCTCTCGGCTCCCCCTCCCATGCCTCCTTCCACTTGCCTTCTTCCCCCCTCCTCCTCTCCTTCCTCTCAGGCGAGAATTCCTGACCTCGCCTATCTCGCTCTACCCTGTCCTGCCGCTGCTGGTCTTCTCGCTCCCTCTCTTCTGCCCCCGCCGCATGTAGTGATCCTCGCCTATCCTCCTTGCGGTACCCCTCTTTGTGCTCTCTTCCCTTCCGCGTAGAGTCCCACCCCTCTTCTTCACCATCGCTACGCTCTCCCTCCCTCGGCAGCCCCAAGCCTCGCCAGTCACCCCTCGCCATGCGCCGCCTGCGCTCATACTTCTCCCTCGGCTCGGGCGAGCGGAATGCTCCAGTGGGCGCATGACGACTCTTATCTCTTCCTAGAGGCTCTCTGATCTGACGTTCACCTCTCCCACTCCTGTCGTGCTTCAACTCATATTCATACTGCCTTGCAGGCGTACGCTCGTCCTTCCTCCGCGTCGTTGGGAACGCTTCGTCTTTGGCGTCGTTGCGCCTCCCGCTGCCCCGCGCAGTGGGGGGTCCCTCGTCTTTGGAGCCATCGCGCGTTCCGCCTTCCCGCACAGTGGGGGGTCCCTCGCCTTCGACGTCGTCGCGCGTTCCGCCTCCCCGCGCAGTGGGGGGTCCCTCGCCTTCGACGTCGTCACGAGTTCCGCCTCCCCGCGCAGTGGGGGGTCCCTCGTCTTCGGTGTCGTCGCGCGTTCCGCCTCCCCGCGCAGTGGGGGGTCCCTCGCCTTCGGCGCCGTCGCGAGTTCCGCCTCCCCGCGCAGTGGGGGGTCCCTCGCCTTCGGCGCCGCCGCGCCTTCCGCCTCCCCGCGCAGTGGGGGATTCTTCGCCTACGTCACCGTCGTACGTTCCGCCTCCCTGCGCAGTAGGGGATTCGCTTCCGTCACCGTCGCGCGTTCCGCCTCCCCGCGCAGTGGGGGATTCTTCGCCTTCAGTCTCTTTTCGATTGCCGCTGGCCCGCGCGACGGGGGATTCTTCAATTTCTTCCTCCCTATCATCATCGCTCGCCGAGTCCATCTCCACGTCGTCGTCGCGACGCCTTCCATCCATTCCGCGCCGGCATCCCGCCAGATCCCACGGATCGCTGGTCGCGGGCCGCCTCCCGGGCTCCGATCTGATGTGCAGATCCGCTCCGCGTCCTCCAGCGCGCACGCCCACTGGCGTCACCAGATCTGCGCGATACGCCGCCCTCCTTGGCGAGCGCGTCGGCGACCTCCCTCGCTCCCTTGAGCACCTTCCCCGCGACGGAGAACGTTCCCGCCGCGAATACGTTCGCTGCATGCGCAGCTCATGGCGATCCATGTCGCCGGCTTCTTCTCTCGTTTGTGAGAAGTCCTGCCTCCTCCACAATGGCTACCCCGTGTGGCCTTGTCACCTAGCAGCAGTAGCTTAGAACGGCAACTTGTATCCACTATAACAGGTAGACAAACGAGAGAACAAGGTTGGCTCTGCTAGGCTAGACTACTAGTACTCGCTTTCCCTGTCGCGAATTATTCCGGGGATGGGCTTGCACTGGCGTCGCCTGGGCTCTGGTTGGCCCTCGCCGATTTCCTGTCTCCCTAGGCCTCGAATTCTCCCAACATGCGCTTCGCAATCTTCTGAGTCACCAACTTCGCGTGATTCCCCAAGTCTTCAACTACCACTCCAATACCCTGCATACCAACTTGTACACCACCTACACCCCACATAGCTCTGAACGAAATATGCTGCAAGTTACCAATATGTTTCGTGACAATGCAAGGAGGAAAAAAGACAGCAAAAGAACAAGAAAGAACACGAAAGCCATAATAACAACTAAGGCAGAGGAAAACGCGAATGCGGAGGGAGAGGGGATGGGGGAGAGAAGAAAGGAACAGAGGTGTTCTGTCATGACTCCAATTCCTTACTTGTTTCTCCAGTCAATGCTGCTCCAGTCGTTGCTGCTCCAGTTGACTCGCGAGCCACTGCAACTGCTGCCGCTTTCCTCCTGCTGCCACTGCGACCTCTGCCGATGCTTCTCCCGTCGCTGCTGCCTCTGCCACTCTACTCCTGCAGATGATGCTGCTTCTGTCTCTGCTGCTCCGTCATTTCCACCCATGCCTTAATGTTGCCTGTACAGCGACCAGAGACTCACAATTCCACAAGGTTCATAAGAGTCCAGGTAATTACAGAGTAAATTGACAGAGTGTAAAGTAACAAATGCATAGAGGAGAAAACACAACGGAAAAAAAGATTAGGAACACGAAAGCCATCAAAACAATGAAGGCAGAGGAACGCGAACGAGGAGGGAGAAGGGAGGGGGGAGAGAAGAAAGGAACGGGGGTGTTAGCTCACGGCTCCATTTACTTATTGCTGCTCCAGTCGCTTCCGCTCCTGTTGCTGCTGAAGCTCCAGTAGCTGCTGCTCCAGTTGCTGTGGCAGTCACACCATGATGCAGCACCACCACTTCAATGCGGCAGTCACACCATGAACTGCCATAGCGCCATGGACTGCCATAGCGCCATGGACTGCCATAGCGCCATGGACTGCCATAGCGCCAAGGACTGCCATAGCGTCATGGACTGCCATAGCGCCATGGACTGCCATAGCGCCATGGACTGCCATAGCGCCATGCACTGCCATAGCGCCAAGGACTGCCATAGCGCCATGGACTGCCATAGCGCCATGGACTGTCATAGCGCCATGGACTGCCATAGCGCCATGGACTGCCATAGCGCCATGGACTGCCATAGCGCCATGGACTGCCATAGCGCCATGGACTGCCATAGCGCCATGGACTGCCATAGCGCCATGGACTGCCATAGCGCCATGGACTGCCATAGCGCCATGGACTGCCATAGCGCCATGGACTGCCATAGCGCCATGGACTGCCATAGCGCCATGGGCTGCCATAGCGCCATGGACTGCCATAGCGCCATGGACTGCCATAGCGCCATGGACTGCCATAGCGCCATGGACTGCCATAGCGCCATGGACTGCCATAGCGCCATGGACTGCCATAGCGCCATGGACTGCCATAGCGCCATGGACTGCCATAGCGCCATGGACTGCCATAGCGCCATGGACTGCCATAGCGCCAAGGACTGCCATAGCGCCATGGACTGCCATAGCGCCATGGACTGCCATAGCGCCATGGACTGCCATAGCGCCATGGACTGCCATAGCGCCATAGCGCCACGGACTGCCATAGCGCCATGGACTGCCATAGCGCCATGGACTGCCATAGCGCCATGGACTGCCATAGCGCCATGGACTGCCTTAGCGCCAAGGAATGCCATAGCGCCATGGACTGCCATAGCGCCATGGACTGCCATAGCGCCATGGACTGCCATAGCGTTGCCTTAGTGTTTCCTTGGGTGTTCCCACCCACGCCTTAGCGTTGCCTCCCTGCACAGAGATCAGAGAGTCGCAGGGAAGGATAATCAGAGAAGAGGAGTCGACAGAGCAGATCGGCAGAGTTAAGAAGACCGAATTCAAGGAGGAAAAAGGACAGCGGAAAACGACAAAGAAAACGTATAGCGATTATCCAACTAGGAATTTAGTCATGAAAGATTGCCAGCGTTTGGGGTAGGAGCGGACAAAAACTCACCAACACTCCAAGTTGCAGCGAGCTCTTCCAACACAGCAGCACCGCCTCCAACACAGCAGCACCGCTCCAACACAGCAGCACCGCCCCAACACAGCAGCACCGCCTCCAACACAGCAGCACCGCTCCAACACAGCAGCACCGCCTCCAACACAGCGGCACCGCCTCCAACACAGCAGCACCGCTCCAACACAGCAGCACCACCTCCAACACAGCAGCACCACTCCATCGCCACCTCCAACGCCACACCAACGCGAGTCAGCCATCTCCTCTCGCCAGCACCAACGCGAGTCAGCCATCTCCTCTCGCCAGCACCAACGCCAGTCAGCCATCTCCTCTCACGGCAGCTCAGGAAGCGTCCGTCCTTCAGATGCACCAACGTAGTCAGCATCTTCAGACGCACGCACGCATCAGCACCGCTCCAGACCTTGTCAAGAGATAAGCTCAAATAGCCTCCGCTCCTGCACGGACAGTTTAATGCGCAGCGAGTGAGATACCCCATAAAAAAACGAAGTGCAGAAACCGAAACGTGCAGTTTGATTGGAAACAAAACACGATCATTAATAGAATAACAGCCTATCGGAGATACGTTGATGAAGTTGAATGATGCGAGCAAAAATACTGTCATCTAATGTTTACCCTACTGATCGCGCGTTTTGCGGTGAAAACTCACCACAACCGTCTGGCGGCGCGCCTCCGTTGTAGCGGCGCGAACGTCAACATATTCGTATCGCGAGCAGGGACCTTCGCGAGCTTCGTACGGACGTCGCGAGCTCTTCGTCGCAAGCTGCTCCTCCGTCATCGAATCCGCGCTGCTCCCGCCGTGACGCACCGGCGCTGCTCCGCTCCGCAGAGAGCGATGGTAGTCGAGGAGATGCTTCGCGGTGCTTCCCATTTCAAGCAATCATTCCCCCATGTCCGTCAGTTGTTCTCCGCGATGCTCCGCGCTCCTTCGTCAGCGTCGGATGTCTCCGTCAGCGTCGGATGTTTCCGTCAACGTCGGATGTCTCCGTCAGCGTCGGATGTTTCCGTCAATGTCGGATGTCTTCGTCAGCGTCGGATGTCTCCGTCAGCGTCGGATGTCTCCGTCAGCGTCATGTCTTCGTCAGCGTCGTCCGTCTCTGGCAGCGTCATGTCTTCGTCAGCGTCGGACGTCTCCGTCAGCGTCGGATGTCTCCGTCAGCATCGGATGTCTTCGGCAGCGTCGCAAGCGTCGTCGGTAGTACGTTGCCCGTCAGCTCCTCTACGCAATGCTCCGCGCTCCTTCGTCAGCGTCGTTAGCATCGCATAGCAGTAGAGGCCTTGTATGCGTTCGATCGAAGATTCGAAAGCGACGAGAGAGTTGACGGCTTCGCAGCGACAACCTTCTAGTGAGCGGCTGAGCGTCGAATAGAGGGATACGCGAGCGAAGCGAGCTGAAGCGTCGCACAGATAACAGCGTTGGCTTGAACGCGACTCCTTCTCGTCTGAAGTAGCGACATCACGAGGAGGAGATAGCTGGAACGTCGCACAGCCTCGTCTGTCGTAGCCTTAAGAGTTCGAGGATGGCCAAAACGTAGCACAATGTAGCGAAGAAACGTTGCGATATAATGATGATGCCTGTAACTTTGCACCGATGATGGCGCTGAGATAATGGCTTAAACGTCACGTAATTCGTCGTAGAAAGGTTCCGTAAACTTCAGGAACATTGTCGCACCACGTCGAGTCCAGCTTGATTAATCTTATCATAGCACTGACGAAATATATGCTTCATACTATACTCTAAGATCCTGCCAGGCTCTAAGATTCTGCTACCATCCTCCTTCCATGAAATGATAGATCATGAACTAGCGCTGATGAAATTGCTAGGCTCTAAGAATCTGCTATAGTCCTACTAGAAAATCTTAAGCTTAACGCGCTCCGGGAAGAGACTACGTCGCGGAAATTACATCCACGGTACAGCTAAGCGAGGAAGCCATGGATTCCAGTCAATCGAGTTAGCTCACGGAGCATCCTCCCTGATACAAACGTGTGCATGGGAAATGGCTGAGAGGGATTCAGTGAATTGCACCAAGGTCAATTGGAGGCAGAGCAAGCGACGAGAATTGGGACAGGAAGGAAAAGCAAGGTCCGATACGGTGAGGAAAGTTTCAGAAAGGTAGGAGAAGCTCATGAGGGGTGGTACGGGTTTCGGCAAGCTGAGATAAGGTGGGGCCAGGTGAGGTGGGATGTGGCTGTGTGTGGTGAGAGAAAGGCGAAGGGAAAGGAGCTAAACGGCAAGGAGCGGGAAGTCGAGTCGCGACTTGTCCACCCCAGCCGAAGGGGGAGGGTTCACCCCATTTCGGCAAGCTCGAGGCGCAAGCCGCTGCAAAGTTCGCTGACGAGTTGCGCTGAATGGCTGGAATCCGCGGGGAAGTCCGCCGACGGTCTGTGACGAAGGTAGGGAACGGTGGAAAGTGGTGTGAGTCAGGGAGGAGCCCTAGGGGTTTGGCGAGGAGACAGTCTTTTCGCGGGCAAAAGTCGTAGCGTGCGAAACTGTGCGGAAGGGATGTATGTTACCCAGTGATGTTGGGTGATCTGACGGCTGAGCACAGTATCTGAGGTGGGTGATTCGGCTTTGGCATGATGTGGATGGCATGGTTTGTTACCACCGTGTGGATGACATGGCCCGCCCGAGCCGCCATAACCATGTGTCATTCACGAGGTGAAGGACTCGTGTCAGACCTCGAATTCAAACTTGATTCGGTTGCTAAAAGTCAATGATTTGGGCGGGATGAAGCTCTCGTCCCCGTTTTCAGTATCCTTTCGATAAAATAAGAACGACCACAATGTAAAGCGTAAACCGATGATAAAGGAACCTACTTCACTGTCCACTTATGAACAAACTGCCAATACAACTGAGCTTGCTGAAAATTGAACAAAACATATCAAGCCTACATTGAATGAAGTAATGTTTTGACTGAGGGTTCTAAATTGGGGGCTTGATTCACAATCCTCCCCAGGTAATTGGCTTTTATGATCATTAATATTATTTTTCAGAATCCCCCATCATTGGAGATCTAGTAAAATATCAGGCACCATAATTCTATTCACTCCATGCACCACCATGTGTGCATCCGTGTAGAGGTCTGGCAGCACCACTCGTACACTCCCTTGAGCTCCCAACACTGGCTTGCCCAGCACAATACCCTCCCCTTCTACCTTCTCCATCTCCATCTCCTCAAACCCTGTTGTGAACTGCATGGGCACCGAAGGGGGTGGAAAGGAGGGAGAAAAAGGAGGTTCAGAGAGGGAGAGAGGGAGGAGCTTGGGGAGGGGAGATGGAAAGAGAGGGAGTGGCTGGAGGACGGAGTGCTGGGGAGCACAAATTACCAGCATATGTATACCTGCTGCACCTTCTGCCCTCTCAGCGGAAGAGTGAGGAATAAATCCAACATACATCAGGAATGGCGCTGGTGCAGTGCAATGCGAGACTCGGAGCACCAATGAGCGGAACACCACTAACACCCATCTCATTCACATCTCTAGGGTTCCCAAACCCACAACACCCAAACAGCACAGCGTGCCTCGGAGCACGCACTGCATGCCAAAACTAAAACAGCTGGAAGAAGCACCAATGATCCTTCACGCACCAGTGATCCTGCCGGTAGTTCTGCCAGCTGAGCGGCAGAGAGCTTCCGGCCGAGAGTGTGGAAGGCGAGCACGCGGTGCATGACGCTGGCGCGCCGCGTGAGGTAGCGGCGCGTGACGGCCGGCAGGGAGGTGAACGCGCCGTTGATAGGCGCGAGAAGCGTTACGCGCATCCGCGATAGGAGAAACGAAAGCGTGGAGTTGAATTCTGAGCAGGAGAGGAGAGACGACGGAAACCGGAGGTGGGTGGGGAGAGGGGGGAGGAAAAGAGGGCGGGGGACGAGGAGAGTGGGCGCTTTTAGCGTGGGAAATAATAAGCATTCTCAGGGATGAAGGTTTCATTTTTCCTCGCTCGCCAGCAATAGGTTTGCCAGGAGAACGATCCCTAGGCCCGCAGATTTGTGATCGCAGCTTAACGGAGAAGCAGCGTCGCCTCGTTACTACGCCTGAACTAGGATTGACCGTTGATGAGTCCAAAGCTTACGAGATCGTTCCATGTTGTCGACCAGCAGCGTGGGCCCTGTGATAAAAAGTTGGGTTTTGAGACGTCTCATGTGGCTATTCCAGCTTTTATCACGTGGCTATTCCCAGCTTACGAGATCGTTCCATGTTGTCGACCAGCAGTGTGAGCCCTTTCTCTCGCATTCTCGCTGCCATCGCCGCGTAAGCCGCTTCCCCGTCGTACTCTTGTAAGGAGTCCGCATTGACGTCCGTTGCGTCGGCGTGGATCCCTGTAACGAGGATAGCCTGTGCCATTATAAGAGCGACAACTAGGGCGCGTAATCTGTACACTCGCGAAGTATCCATTTTGTGTGCGGAGAGAATTACTCAGACTGAAGCTGGAGGGTGGTAGACCGATCTATCGAAATAAATAAAAATAAAAATAAAAATCTGCTGATATATTAGAAGGAAGGAGCAGACTTGCGCCGATATCAATACAGTGACGGAGCACGCGATGGAAATGCAGTCGAGCGCCTGAATTGAAAATAAAGCCAATGCAGCTAATCTCGCGCAGACGACGGCGAGCTTGCAGATTAGTTGGTGTCACAAGCAGTGCCCCACTGGTTAGAATTCGCGAATGCTGGTAGGGTTGGATGGAACTGAAGAATTCTTCTAGCGAATTACCTCGCCTGCGACTCGAGGAGTATGGGAGCCACTGGACTATGTTGACTGGCACGTGGCTGCTGTTGGGTGGATGAGGTCTGCTGATGTGCACCAGTGGCACAAAAAGGCTATTTTGCCAGCTCTCAACAAAGTTTCGCATTTTAGTTGGTCCCACTGCCATTCGTCGGCTAATCCGAATCCAGTCTGGGGACGAATTGGCTGGGGATGGATTCATTGAGCTTGCAAAACTGGTGGAATGGAATAACAGAGTGTTTCAGCTAAACGCGACAGAATCCACACTTTCCGGAAGACCTCTCCAACCAAGATGGCCTGGGCGAGGTCACGTTGGTTTGAGATCGAGAACCTTGCTGTACGCGTTACCAGGAATGTTAGTACATCTACGATTGTGTTTCTTATTGTTGGGCCTGTCTTTTTTAGTGCTATCAGAAGCAATCGCTGTATCGAAGTTGCCATTTCCTAGAGTTCTCGCGCCCTGCAAACTTTCGCTTCTGTCCCGCTTCATCGTCAGGCACACGCCATCGAGGCGGGCTCAGGAGTACCATCAGCAACACCATAGCCACTCACCGTCCGATCGTCCCTGACACCTGAAAGCAGATTCATTTACCGTCCGATCACCCGAAGACACCTCCCAGATCTCACAGACCTGCTCCATCATTCAGCCCCATTCCATCCCATGCACCGTACTTCCAACCGTGTAACTCCATGGTCAACTCAACACACCATCAACATCACCATGGGATGCACCATCTTCGTGTAACGAAGCTCCTAGAAGCATAATCAACACGCGCACCACTCCAGGTTTCTCGAGTTTCCAGAATTCTGGTGAATCTGTAGTGTCTAATTGCTCCCGCCACCCTCGCTTTAGGTGTTGTGATAGGTTTGCGCCTCCGTAGACACTGCATTTAGGTCTTCGCTGTAACACTTCTCTGCGGTAGGCTTCATCACCCACAACTCATCCAATTCCACCGTCATTCGGATTTTACCCCGTTGGTATACGGAATCGATTCGTAATTGTCGTTCTCATGCCAATCTGACGGCTCTGGATGATGGATCGAGTGACGGGTTTGGATCCAGGCGGTGCCGCGACAACTGTATCTGCTAAGATTGTAAATCCCTCACAGAGACGTTTGGAATCGACTTTGCCTGTCGACAAACTTCAGACTGAATCCGGCGCTGCTCAGTTACCGTCAGATGCTGCGCATGGACCGTCCGATGCGGCTCCAGCACAGCCAGATTCTGCTCAAGGACCGTCCGATGTTGCACAGGGACCGGCGGATGCCTCACACGTACCGTCAGATACTGCTCGGGTTTCTTCAGATGATGCTGGACCGTCGGATGTTGCATATCGACCGCCGGATAAAGTGGCCGATGTCTGTCAAACGAAGGTCGAGGCATCTGAAGTGAAGCAGCAGACCGATTTGACAGAAATGCATCACGACGCGAGTTCGCAACAGCCTGAAGAATCGGAGAAACATGAACAGGATCAGGGTTTTAAAGCACCTTCGGAGGCCGACGTCTGTCAGATGAAGGTCGAGGCATCTGAAGAGAAGCAGCAGACCGATTTGACTGAGAAGCATCATGACACGATATCACAGCAGCCTGAAGCATCGGAGAAGCACGATCAGGATCAGGGCTCTGGAGCACCTGAGGAGCCTGAGCAAAACCCTGAAGCATCTGGAAACCCTGTTCAGAAGTCTGAAGCGCCTGAGAAGCCTGATCAAGACCCAGGAGCACCTGTGAAACATGATCATGATCTTGATCTAAACTGGCCTATTCAGCAGCCTGACGCGCCTGCGAAGCCCAAGCTCGAAGCAGCTGAACCTACTGTCGTGGCCGATCCGCCTGCTCAACATCCTGATGCAGCTGAAATGTCTAATCAACGGACGGATCCCATCTACAAGCGTACCGTCGACAAGCCCTCTGATCAACCTGCCACGGCTGGTGATCACCCCGAGGTTGTTATGGCGAAGTCTGACGCACTCCATGCTACCTCGCAGCCCCCTGATGCAGCTGATAAGCATTCTCAGCAGACGGAAGCTGCTGTTGAATCCACTTCTGAGCAGATTACTACGCATGCCGACAAGCCTACGGAGCAGTCTGACGCACCCCATCCGACCTCGCAGCCGCCTGATGCAACTGCGATTCAGTCTCAGCAGACGGAAGCTGATGTTGAACTATTTCAGCATGTGAATGTTCAGCAGACTGCTGAGGAGGCCGACAAGCCCACTGAGCAGACTGCAGCACCCAATGCGTCTGCTCAGCCTCCTGATGCAGCTCGAAATCATTCGCAGGAAACGGAAGCTGATGTTGAACCCTCTCAGCATGTGAATGCTGAGCAGACTGCTGAGGAGGCCGACGAGCCTACTGAACAGACTGAAGCACCCAATGCGTCCTCTCGGTCTCCTGATGCAACTGCTAAACACACTCAGCAGATGGAAGTTGATGGTGAACCCACTCAGCATGTGGATGCTGAGCAGAGTACTGAGCATGCCAAGCCTACTGAGCAGTCTGACGCACCGGACCAGCCCGCTGGGCCTGGCGAGGCTGTTGACACGCTTGTGGAGCAGCCGTTAGCAGCTGAGCTTGCTGAGGAACCTGCTGAGAAGCCTTTGGCAGCTGAGCATACACAGGAGACTGATGGGGGTGTCGCACCACACACGTCCGTTCCGCAGACTGATGCGCCTGAGAAGCCCACCCAGCTGCCTACACAACAGCCGTCTGAACAGCCGACTCAACAGCAGCCTGCGACAGCTGAGCCTCAGCCTGATGCGACGCCATCAAAACGAAGGCGAGGCACGGCTGCTCGCGCAGCCCCTGCCACGCCTGTTGTCGCACCGGTGCAAGGGGACAGAGTGGTGGGTGCAGTCGAGGGGCTGTTGCCTGGAGCGCTGCTCACACCTGGCGGGAGGAGAATGACTCGGTCCATGTGGAGGTCTCTTGGACTGATGCCGGAAGGGGGGAGCGAGAGTGACAGGAGCAGCATGAGCGCTAGTGCGAGTGCTAGTGCTAGTGCAAGTGTGAGTGTGAGTTTGTCGGGGCTGAGGAGAGGGGCGAGGAGAGGGAGAGGGGGGAGGCGGGGCGCTGGGAAGGGGGATGCTGGGAGCGAGAGCGGGATGAGCGCGGAAGGGGAGGGGGAAACGGAGGTGGAGAGTAAGGCGAAAGGGGCGGGAGGGGGAGTGGGGGGAGCGGGGGGGGCGGGAGGTGAGGAGGGTGAAGGGGAAGGGAAGGGTTTGGTGCTGGAGAGGATTAGTGAGTGGGAGGAGAGGATAATGGAGGTGGAAGAGGAGGAGCAGGAGGAGGAGGAGGTGCGTCGGGCTAAAGAGAGGGCCAAGGCAAAGGCTGAGGAGGAGAAAGCCAAGGGGAAGGGGAAAGAGAAGGCGAGAAGCCCGAAGGGTGGGCGGAGGGGAGGTGGGAGGGGTAAGCAGGGGAGGGAAAGTGAAGAGGAAGGGAGTGTGGCGGGAGGTGGAGGGGAGGAGGAAGGGAGAGGAGATGAGGATGGAGGTGGTGAAGGGGAGACGAGTAAGCGGAAGGGGAATGAGGAGGGGAGGAAGGAGGGAGGGGTGGAGGAGAGGGTTGAGAGCGTGGGAATAGAGAGGGAGGGGGGACGGCGAGAGGAGGGGCAGGTGAACGTATATGTGCGGAGGAGGAAAAGGGCAGGAGGCATGGGCGAGGGGCAAGCGACACCATCAGGAAGCAATGTTGATGCTGCCATGTGCCACGAGACTAGCAACAGTGCTATGCGCCAAGAGGCTGGTTCAGGGGGAGGAGTGAAGGACGCGGAAGCAGAGGCAGGCGTGAGTGGTGGAGTGGCTGGGGAGAAAAAGGAGTTGGAGACTGGTGAGTCTGCTGGTGCTGCTGGTGCTGCTGATGATGATGCTGCTGCTGATGATGATGATGCTGCTGGTGCTGGTACTGAAAAGAGTGTACATGGCGAAATGGAGTGTGACGAGCAGCTGGAGGAGGAGAGGAGAGAGGAGGTGGCTCCTGGGCAAATGGGGAAGGTCAATACTGAACAAGGGGCGGAGGTCGCTCCTGGGCAAGGGGAGAAAGTGGCTTCTGGGGAACCGGGGGAGGTGGCTCCTGGGGAAGGGGGTGAGTTGCCTCTTGAAGAAGGGGATGGCGAAGGCAATAGGAATGCAGGGCAACAGGAGGGGCGTGGTGGGGTGCAAGCGGGGGGGAGGAAGGCGAAGGTTGCAGTTGGGGTGGAGGTGGAAAGGGAGAGGAGTGAGAAGGAGGCGAGGGAGGCTGAAGAGATGGAGAAGGACGGGGCGATGAGGGAGGAGCTGGAGAGGGAGAGGAGGGAGAAGGAGGCACGAGAAAAAGAAGCGAGCGAGAAAGAGGCAAGGGAAAAGGAGGAAGCGATGAGGGAGGAGTTGGAGAAAGAGAGGCGGGAGAAGGAGGCGGCGGTGAGAGAGCTGCAGAGGATGAGGGCGGAGATGAAGTGGCAGATGGAGCTGATGCAGCAGCAGGTGGTGCGCGCCAGAAGGTAAGCTTTGATAGGATGGGGAGGGAGGGAAAGAAGATGGGGGTTAAGGGTTTCGGGATCAGACAGAGCGGCAGCGGATGAGGGCGGAGATGAATATGGCAGATGGAACTGATGCAGCAGCAGGTGGTGCGTGCTAGAAGGTAATCTTTACCAGGGTGGGGAGATGGGAGAGAGGGAGGAGGGGGGGGAGGGTTTAGGGATCAGAGAGAGCTGCAGAGGATGAGGGCGGAGATGAAGTGGCAGATGGAGCTGATGCAACAGCAGGTGGTGCGCGCCAGAAGGTAAGTGTGGAAGAGAGACCGATGGGGCTGATTGGGAAGAAAGACCATCCTCCCTTTCATTCCACCTGTTCAACCTTCCGTATTGCCCCACCTCGATCTTCCCACGTTCTGCAAGTTTCGGGTCCTCTGGCTACAGGAACCTAGTGTGTGACTCTGAGATATGCCGGCATCTTCCACTGCTTCGTCCATTCCCCCCTCAACCCCTGACCTTCCTCTGTTTCCCCCGGTCTGTGTGCCACAGGTATTCGAGCTACAAGAACTCTGTGCAACTGCAACCTCCTCCCATGTCCCCCTCCCCACCTCCAAGTTCCTCCCCTCCCCTGTTATCCCGCTCCTCCCACTGATCCCCATCGGTGCAGGTATTCGAGCTACAAGAACTCTGTGCGTGCTGCCATGGCCATGGCTGCTCACCTGCGGCAAACGGCTAGATCCAAGGTCAGTGCTTCCAAACCCCGCTTATGCACTGCCTATGCACTGCTGAGGACTCTAGGTCGTGCTATGATGCTCGCTTCTCACGCGCGCTGCCATGCCATGAACTTGGCTGCCCACCTGCGGCACACAGCTAGATCCAAGGTCAGTGCTTGTGACACATCTTTAATTTTCTTCTCGTCTCGCTTCTTGAGACACCGCGAGAACCTCATCAATCGCTGATCTTTCTTCTGCATGTCCGGTGCAGGTTGCTCGAGCGAAAGCTCTGGCGGAAGCTCGAAGCAGAACCCGGGCAGGTGAATTTCCCGCAGCTGGGGAACCTGGGGGCTCGGGCAGGAAGAAACGATCACCCGGTAAGCAGAGGAAAGCAATGGAAGCGTCGCAAGTTTCCAAGCAGAGAAGGGTTGGAGAGGAGAGGCAAGGCTGGGATATAGTGATGGATGAGGGAGAAGAGAAGGACAAGAGGGCGGATGTGGCAAGGGGAAAGAAGATTCAGGCGGAAGGGAGGAAGCAGAAGGAAGATTATTCTGAGGAGGAGGGGGAAGAGGAAGCAGAGGCTCAGTGGGAAGAAAAGCCGGAGTGGGAGGAGGGGGGAGGGGATGAGGAACGTGAGGAGGGAGAGGAGGAGGGACCAGAGGAGGGAGAGGAGAGTGAGGAGGAGGGAATCCCTTTGACGCGCAGTGTGCAGCGAGAGGCGTCGTTTAAATCGTGGGTGAAAGCAGATTCTAAGTCGTCTGGGGGTACTGCTGCTTACAGTGGAGGGGAGTTGAAAGGAAGTATACAGGGGATTGGGTGTGCAGGGCGGGGGGGCGAAGAGGAAGGGGAGGTGGATCTGAGGCAGGTGAATCTGGCTAGTGCTCTAGACCGGGCGTGGGAGCAGGAGCAGGGAGAGAAAGAGGAGGGGGAGGAGGAGGCAGGAGAGAAGAGGAGGACGAAGAAAGGGCGTGGGGGAGTTAAAGCTGGGGAGGATAAGAGCGGGGGGGGTGAGTGGGCCGGGGAGCAAGGAGGCGAGGACGGGAGAACGGAAGAAAGGGAAGCTGGAGGAGAGGAGAGGGGAGAGAGCGATAGTGGGAGTAGTTCAGAGGGAGGTGGGAGTGCGGCGAGCACGAGAGGATCGTCGGATTCGCCTGGATCGGACGGTGGAGAGGGGTTTAGCTTTGATGACGTGGTGACACGTGCTGGGATATTAGAGGATGGAGGGGTGAAGCATTTGGATGGGGGGGCACGGGTGGAGGGAGAGAGTGACCAGGCGAGATTGCGTGAGAAAGATGGTGGTGGGGTGAATGAGGGTTTAGATGTGGGGATTAAGGGGACTGCTGTTGGTGGATTGGGAGAAGGAGGGGAGGAGAGGGGTGTGAAGGTGGAGGGAGGCGATGAGAGAGAGGAGGGGGAGGTGGATGAAGGGGAAGAGGGAGAAGAAGGAGAGGAGGCAGGTGAGTGGGAGGGAAGGAGGGGAGATGTGGGAGAGGAGGGAGAAGAAGGAGAGGCTGGTGTGGGTGGAGAGGAGGTAGGTGTGGGAGAGAGGGGAAGAGAGGGGGAGAAAGCTAGCTGTAAGAGGGAGAAAGGGGCCGGTGTGGAGGGAAAGGCGCCTGATGCTAGGAACGGGGATGTTATGACTGGGATGAAGCGGAAGGGGGGAGGAGATTTGGAGGAGGTGAAAGTGAAAGGGAGGAAAAGGAAGGCGGGGGAAAAGGGGAATGCTGGTGATGGGCATGGGCATGGGCATGGGAATGGTGTTTTTAGACTAGTGTGGAGGAGGATTGGACGGAGGTGGATGTTACAACGGGTGATCTAGTGTTGCTGATATGCGTGAAATGGTATGAGAAGACTTGTACTGGGAGTAGGCGCCAGGGTTGGAGGAGGGTTGGTCGCAGGTTGATGTGTAACTGGTTTCGCAACAGATGGTCGACTGCTGCTTAGATGCTTGGAATATGCAAAGAGTTTTAGCCTTTTCCAGAGGTTACGCATGAGATGTAATTAGCACGTATCGTCCTCTACGTAATCTGTAGCAGGCTTAAATTTGTAGTGCATGGGAGTACGCAATGTAGTGACTAGTCTCTAGTTTAGTGTTGTCTTTTATAGGTTTGGTGAAGTGTTTTATCCAAGTGTTGTGGCTAGTTACGACTCTCCTTGTATTTGCTCACTGTGCCCGAAAGCTCATATCACTTGCCACGGTTTCGTTGGGTGCGTTTCGGTTTCAAAAAGTCAAATATGCCAGAACGCTCTTAACCGATGGAAAGCCCTTCTGAACCGTTCAGGGACGATGAGCATTCAAGCGCACAGCATTTTTCCCGATTCACCCCTTCCGAAACCAGCTGGGATACTCCTTTGAATCTGCCTCGTCCAGCCGCGAAACGCGCTGCATGGCGGACAGCAGTCGTCGTATAAGGCGAAGCGCCATCGCTACAGCTAGGCCAAATAGCATGAAGTTCCATGGTTCATCCCAACGCATCAAGACAGCTACAGAGGCATCTTTTATTGTACGCGAGGTTGTTATTGGCCGTTCGATTTCATCCCACGGTCGAGGTGTGATCTCCTACAGAGTGACGGCGGGTCGCCATTGCCTCGAAACCGGAGCTGTTCCGTTAGCGTCACCGTCACCGTTACGTTTCCGTCCTCGTGATTGTTTCGTCGCTCGGTCGTCTCGTTCGTGGCATAACCTTCAAGACGGGGTACACAAGCGGTGATGGCCGGCACGGGAAGTGTCGAAGCTGTACCGTGCTTTTGCCACAGGAGGAACCGCCGCGAGACTAGTAAGCTGATTGCGAGGGTTTCCTGTAGAGCAGCAGCGAGAGGAGTAAGCATACTGCCGACGCCGACGGCGACGCGTGTCTTGAGTCTGCTTATGAAAGTGGGTGTCAGGGTTTCCTTGACCGAAACATCCTCGCTATTATCTCTCTTTTTTTTTAGTGCCTTAACGAAGCAAGTTATTGACGAGAAGTAGCATCTTCAGCCATGGCTGCTTGTCTCAATAAATTGTCAGGAAGAAACGGATTCGTGTCGTTCGCGATGGCGTTGTTTCTGGTGCTGCTTCTTCTGGCGGCACTCTCACTGAATCCCTCGGGAGTTACGACCGTTGCTGCGGTGCCGCTGCGGGACTTTCGCGGCAGCAGGCGAATTGGGGTTACCACCCGTGCGAGTGAGGTTGAGATTCTCGCACCAGATGCTGGCGGCAGCAGCAGCAACAACCCGCCTCTTCCCGTGGCGGGGATTTTTGGCGACCTTCAGGTGCGGTTTTCAGTCAAGTGTCCTTCTGAGAAATAAAATCTTGCACTTCGTGTTTATGCTGGCGTTTACGCTCCAATTCATTCCATCCTTCTCACGTCCCTTTTCTCCACTCCATCCTTTCCTCCATTTTCCTGCTCCCTCCCTCCCTCCCTCCCTCCCTCCCTCCCTCCCTCCCTCCCTCCCTCCCTCCCTCCCTCACTCCCTCTCTCCCTCCCTCCCTCCTCGCCCACCATCCTTTTCTGTTCTTGTTTACTCACCCCATCCCTCCCTCCTCGCCCACCAGAGCCCAGCAGCATCCAGCTATTCCATGTTCGTGCAAGCCATGGCGTCCCTCCAGCCCCCCATGGACTATGTCGCTTTCCTCAACGGAGCTGTCAACAGGTCATAACAATCTCTTCCCTTCCCCACTCTCTTTCTCCTACCCTCCCACCAGAGCCCAGCGGCCTCGGACTACTCCATGTTCGTGCAAGCCATGGCACCCCTTCAGCCCCCCATGGACTATGCTGCTTTCCTCTACGCACCTCAACACGGCATTCGATATTCCATCCTGCTTCTGTACTTTCCACAACATTCCACCAGAGCCTAGCCGCCTCGGACTATTCCATGTTTGTGCAAGCCATGGTGTCCCTTCAACCCCCCATGGACTGCTGTTTTCCTCAACGGGGGGGGTCTATCATGGCATCATATCTCTTCCTTTCCCCACGCCCATCCGCCCTCCCTCTCCCACCAGAGCCCAGCCGCCTCAGACTATTCCATGTTCGTGCAAGCCATGGCGTCCCTCCAGCCCCCCATGGACTATGTTGCTTTCCTCAACGGGGCGGTGGGCATGGCCAATGGCATCACCATCCTCGCACCCTCCAATGCCGCCTTCCAGGTGATCAAGTGCACGGCAGGGTGAGGTTGGGGAGCATGGGGTATGGTGATAGCTGCCAGATGAAGCAGTGGGTGCTTTCCTCAATGCGCGGTGGGCATGGCCAATGGCATCACCATCCTCGCTCCTTCTAATGCCGCCTTCCAGGTAACCAGTGCATTCTTGTAACTATCCTTATTTCAGGTGAATAGGTGGACTTCCCATCAATCCCCAGCTTCACTCGTGACCGTCTCCCTTGCACCCCTTCCCACCACTACCCATCTATCTCTTAATTTCTCCCAGGTTCTCGGCCCATACACCATATGCCTCACCAATTACACCCAATCCGGGCCCATGCTAGCCACCCTCCTCAACCACCACAGTCTGAGTCTGAAACCCAGCCACCCTTCTCACCACCCCTTGCCACCACCCGTTCCTCCCTTAATCCCTCCAGGTCCTCGGCCCATACACCTCATGCCTCGCCAGCTACACCCGATACGGCCCCATGCTAGCCATGCTCCTCAACCACCATATTCTGAGTTTGAATCCCGGTTAGGTTGCCAATCTCATTCCACCCCACCCATTCCACCCCTGATTCATCCCAGGTCCTCGGCCCATACACCTCATGCCTCGCCAATTACACCCGATCCGGGCCCATGCTAGCCACCCTTCTCACTCTCACCCACTCCCCACCACCCGCCCCTCCTGTAACCCTCCCAGGTCCTCGGCCCGTACACTTCATGCCTCGCCAACTACACCCGATCCGGCCCCATGCTAGCCACTCTTCTCAACCACCACATTCTCTACGGAAACTTCCCGGTGTCTGCGCTCTTTGACGGGCGGCGATATTTCACCCTTGCCAACACCAATGTGCTTGTTACCCGGGCGGCAACGGGGGTGACTGTGGAGGGCGCCAGGGTGGTTGAGCGGAATAAATTTGCAGGGTATAACGGCGTCGTGCATGGAATAGACCGGGTTTTGTTTCCACCAGGGATAACCCCCTCGGTGAGTGTGGTGTGGTTGTGGTGCGTTCATGGGGTGGTGGGTGCTGCTTGTGTGGGTGCAAGCATGTGGGGTGCGTGTGTGGGTGCAAGCAGAGCGGCGATACTTCACCCTTGCCAACACCAATCCGCTTGTGACCCGGGCGGCAACGGGGGTGACTGTGGAGGGCGCGAGGGTGGTTGAGCCGAATAAATTCGCGGGGTATAACGGCGTAGCGCAAGGAATAGACCGGATTTTGTTTCCACCTGGAATAACCCGCTTGGTGAGTGTGAGGCTGGTGTGGTGTGGTTATGGTGATGGGTGGTGATTGGTGCATGAATGGCTGATCGGAACAAAGACATGTGTTCGAGCATGACGGTTCGTAGTGACTGTTGAGTCTCATTTACACATACCCCATATGCCACTGCTCTCACTCCCCTCTCCCCTTTCCCCCCCTCCCCTCTTCCTCTCCCTTGCGTGCAGCTGTACACCATTTGCAACCAAACTGGACAGGGTCTGGCAGTGTAGAGATGGAGGGAGGAGAGTGTTTACATCCTATCATCCTATGAAGCAGCCACCGACTGACTAGTGTGCATAAGGTTCATGATACCTAGTACAGTACTTGTCTGTAACATTTGCACATGTGTGTGCTCCTTTCTGTCAGAATTTTTTACTTCGTCGTGGGAAAATAGAAAACTCTACCCAGTGTATTGACCTATTTGCCCCGGCTGCCTCTAATAAAAGTACAAGGCTTCATTTTCTACAGGATTGAACCAATGAACAAACTGGATAAACTACCACTACACCAACTTTTTGTAATTTCAGTACCTACCTACCCACTGTACACGCTACTCCTAACATGCACTTTTGTGCTCCTGGTCCTAATCTGCTTCCTGGCGTTCACCTGGCCGTTAGGTTAGCGTTTTGACAAGTGCCTGCTGCCACTGGAATCGATCTGCTTGTGCTTGCCATGCCACGACCTGGGCCGTGCCAGCAAGTGAGCTGCTGCTCTTTCTCCCACATGTCATCCTCCTGCTGTGCTTCCCCTTCATTTGCGTCTCAGCTTAACCTTGAGCTCCCTGTGTCATCCACCAAATCTATTTCCCCTTCATCTTACACCTCAGTTTTAACCTCAGCTCCATATATCATCCGCCTACTCTGCTTCCCCTTCATCTGGCGCTTGGGCTGTACCGTAACTTTCACAAGTGCTTGCCCCCATCAGGTCTCGCTAAGCTTCTGCCTGCCACACCACAACCCGAGCTGTGCCAACACGTGCGCCGATTCTCTTTCTCCCTCCTGCTCTGCTTCCGCGCCCGCCTGGTGTCGGGGCTTTAGCTTTAGCTCCCTGTGTGTCATCCACCTACTCTGCGTCCCCTTCACCTGGTGCCTGGGCTTTAACTTTCACAAGTGCCTGTCCCCACCGCGACTCGCTCTGCTTGTGTCTGCCTCGCCACGACCTGAGCCGTGCCAGCACGTGCGCGGATACAATCGCTCCCCGTGGCTTGCTGCCCATCTGGAGGAGAGAGGGGAGAGGGGAGAGGGGAGAGGGGAGAGGGGAGAGGAGGAAGTCAGGAAAGAAAGGAGGGAGAAGGAGAGTCATTGCCCCCACCGCGACTTGCTCTGCTTGTGTCTGCCTCGCCACGACCTGAGCCTTGCCAGCACGTGCGCCGATACGATCGCTCCCCGTGGCTTGCTGCCCATCTGGGAGAAGGGGAGAGAGGAGAGGGGGAAAGGGC